TTTTCCTTTAATATTTTTCTTTAGAGGCCATTACTTCCTTTACTTTTCTCGAAATACCCGACAGCCATTTCACTTACATACATACAAAATTACTTACATACATACAAAATTCGTAACAGTAAACTTTAACTTTCGTAATTGCCTTAGTTATTCGACTATAGTGAGAATACGAAGGTACAATTCGCAAAAAAATAGATACTTGATCAATATGTCTGTTTTTTCCGTGAATTTCATTTTAGGAACATATGAAATTTACTTGGTGAAAGAACATTTTAAATAATTTTAAACTTTTGCTTTTCAGCTGGTTGTCTGTCAAGACGAGCAGATGCTATTAAAAACTGGGAGGATTTTCTTAATAAATACCTGGAAGTTTGTAACAATAATGAATACAATAAAGAGACAAATCCTAAGGTATGTTATATAAACTGCTGTACGGTTATTATTATTTAAATTAACCAGTTATTTATAATTTCAGCCTTTACTATAACTTCTCTTTTCTGTTTCCTCATCAAAATATAAATAAGTTATATAATATTTAAATTGAGATTTTTTAAGACAGGACCTGCTTCTGGAGTGTGCGTGCATGCTATATTTAGTTCTTGCCAGATCTAATAAGTTGCAATTATTTTGCTTTGGGTTATATCGCTGTCAACACTTGAATCTGATACATCGGTCGAGTTGCTGAGCCAGCTTCGAATAAGATTTAAATTCTGTAGTCTTTGACTATTAATCCACGTTTTCATTTGAACATGACTGTTCCATTTACTTACCAAGAGTTGTGGTTGATTTTGTTAGCATAAAAACGCGCATTTATGTTCTAAGTTCTGTTTAAATAAAAAGGTATATGTAAACTTTTCCCTGACTTTGTAGTTACTTTCAGACAAAGCGATAATTTGCTTCACGTCTGTTAGGGGTTTGGGTCTATTTTATCAGATCAAGAAAAACCTCATAATGTGTATTTGCAGAGTTAAAGAGATGTTTCATTCAGCTTTTCATTTTCGTTTTGCGTATTTCCCCAAAAATGACTTGTATCGGCAGGCAAAGTAGACAGATGTCTTATTTTGCACCCGCTAAGTCTTTCTGTACGCAGGTCGAGCTTAGGTGCTAAGAAAGAGGGCATTTTTATTTGAGAGATAAATAATTTCATAGCATTTGATACAATTTTTTTTTTACCAAAGCCAGGTAAAAAAGTCGATTAAAAAGGAAAAAAATCGGCCCAGAATTATATTAATAATATATATATATTGTATATAAATTCCATAGTCAGAATACACTAATTTCTAACTGTAGTTCTTTTCATTTTTAAACGGCGACGTTTTCTTATTGAAGTACGTGGAATTAAATCCCAGTTCGTAATCAATTGTTTTTCCCGCCTTTCTACCGTACAGTTTAGAATGTTTGGAAATTTTAAAGCGAATTGAATGGCTGACGTCATTTTTGGAGCTCCGCCTTTCCAGGGCTATAAAAGGAATAGCAAAGAATATCGGGCTTTTTTTAAAGTATGATGCAGTAACATTCTACAAAGGTTTCTAGTAGTTCTTTTGATTTTCTACGTATATCTGATTTTGTAATGCTGTATTTTCCCTGACCAATAATAAAGGATCCTGTTTTTTGAACTATAGTCTGTATTTAAGCTACGACTACATTTATGATTCTTCAACAATCTATTTATTCCTGACAAAAGCTGGTACATCACACATATATATATATATATTGGTTGAGATACAGACGATGTAAGAGAAGCCTGAAGTAACCCGACCTTCAATGTATCCTAATATAACAACAATGCCCTAGTATAAGCCCTAATATTCTTTATTGGAGAAGTCAAATAACAGTGCCCTAGTAGCCCTAATATGCTGTTGAAAATTTATAGTATGAGGTGTTAAAAATACTATCCTAATCTGGGGTTAAGAAAAGGGGGATGTTTCGTTTCAGTAATGTATCAGCAGCAGAAATTAAATTTCATATAAATGGTTATAGTTACAGTGCTGTCAAAATGAAATATGTTACCTCATATAAATAGTTAAATACTTTCAAATGATGTAGGTAAGCTTCTGAAAGAGAGATTAAATTAACACTATCCATTGGTAAAATAAGAATAAAAAGAAAAATCATTGGTTCCTGGGCTGAAATACAATCGAAAATATCTCCCTTCGTAATATTTACTTTACCAATCTTTCTGTAAAAAGAAATCCAAACTCTCACATTCACAAACTATAGCTTCTCCGACATGGGCTATTAATTACAGTTGCTAGTCACAGGAAGAAGATTCAAGTTCGTCAGAATAAGCTTCTGAGATCTAGCTTAAATGCGCCGTGGTATCTGCTTAATGCATAAATACACCATGATTTAAACATACATTCTGTTAGATCTAAAGTAATTACAAATGCGAACAAACATCTCCAAATGTTTTGCTGCTTCTTCATATCGAAAAATCTGATGTGGACATCACATGACTTCCATGTACGGACTATTAAAATTACAATACATTGTTTTGCTACGCTTCATATAAATTTATGTCGTCGAACTGTTCTAACTTATCCTATCCTTGAAGGCAAGTTGAAAATGACACCAAAAATTGCCAATTTTGAAACTAAACTTCCTATAATTTTATTTTTTCATAACGAGTACTAAACTTTCTAGGAACCAAGAGAACGCATTAAAAGTTAAATTTCGTTACTTGCTAAAATTAATTCTTATTTAACTTTGAAATTGCCCAAACACGAATATTTTCATCAGTTAAAATGCTTTTGCAATTGGAAGTATACGGCTACGACCAACCTTTGCAAAAATAAAAGCTGACTAAGGACTTTTAAGCCAGGTAAGGGGGTGGGTATCAAAATGAATGCTCCTATAGGTGCATTACGCAAAATGTAATACATGTATTCATTCAAAATGTACATAAATGCAAGCAAATTTGAATGTTCGATATGCTATTCTTTTGTTATACGGCATACGTCAAGTCTGGAAATGCTAACTTTGTGCAGTATGTCTGTACCGATGCAGTTGATAGCAGCTGGAAGCCCGTATACGCGATCTTTTATGAATCCCCACAGGAAAAAATCGCATGAGGTGAGATCTGGATATCGTGGTGGCCTAGTCAAGAGTGCATTGTCTGCAGTAGATACGCGACCAATCCACCGTTGTGACAACATGTTATTGAAGTGGCTCCACGCTTCAGTCATTAAATGTGGTGGTGCACCAGCCTGTTGCAGAATAAAGCTAGGCATATTCTCTTGTAGCTGTGGCAGAAACCATAATTTGAGCATATTGATGTATATTCCTTCAGGTCACACTGGTTTCAGAAAAAAAGAACGGACCGTACATAATTTCATGAGATATTACACAAAGCTCATTAACTTTAGGGGAATCATGCTGGTATTGCAATGCCGCATGTGGATATTCAATACTTCAAATTCTCACGTTATGCTTATTTACTTGTAGAGACTTTATATACTAATGCAGAAATGTGAAAAGTTGATTCATCACTGAATGCTAACGTTTTCGAAAATTCGTCATCCTCCATGCGCGTTCACACAGAGAGATAATCGACGCGGCAGATCTTCGGGTTCCAGATGCTGGTCGCATTAACTGCAAACGATAAGGTTTCATTTCCAAACCGCTGCTAAAACTCTCCACACAGTTTTCTGGGTTACTCCCAGTTCTCCTCCAGCTTGATATGCTGATTTTTGAGGGCATCTCACATAGTTAGCCGCATTTAGGCTTGATGGGCCATATATAGGGGACCCTCTATAAGTTTGCTATACTATATTTATACTATATTTTAATTTTTAGGGAGCCCCCAAGTAAATGGAGGCCCTAAGGTATAACTTGTGTAGCTTATACGTAAATCTTGCACTGGCTAGATTCAATGCGCTCAACTACATCTTCTCCTACAAAATGTTGATTTTCTTTTATAAATACAGCCTATCTCTTGAAATTTTCAAACCAACGACGGATTGCTTTATGATCCAGAGATGTCTGTCCGTATTTTGTTCGGAACTGGCGCTAAACAGTGAAAATAACCTTAGTGAAAATAGACGTTGCTAACATGAAACTCAGGCACACAAAATGCTTTTTGCTGTTGCGTCGCTGTTTTTATAGTAGGCGTTGTTTTCCTGCGCGTTTTGTTTTCGCGGAAACGCTGGTGACGATTGGACTTCCAGCGCCATCTATTGGCGGCTCGTCGAAACTTGTTTATATTTCATCCGCATGTATGTACACTTTTAATGAATATATTCATTACATTTTCGTAGTACACCTATGAAATTCGAGCATTCATTTTGACTTATCCTGTACCTATACACACATATATATATACACACTTTTGTATCGCCGATCGCAATAAGAAAGGGTGGTGCACAACTAGATGTTATACAACTCCCATATATAAAATTTCAACGTCCTACGGCTAATCTTTTTTGAGTTATGTGAGTTACATACGTACATACGAACATACAGACATCATAAAAAAATCCTTTCTGAACCATTTTAAATCTATTTTTTGGAAAAAGAAGTCTTTATTTTGTCCATACGTACAGACATGTAGTAAAAAAATAGTCATTTTTTTTTTAATTCCTCGTGTTCCACAAAGTATACCAGGAGACTTACAGAAGTAAGTTACAACACTAAATAAACAAATGTACAATAGCACTGCAAAAGCGTTAAGTTCCGCTAGCGTAACATGGCGGCTATTTGTTTACATTTGCAGCACTTAGTAGTATAGTGAATTACGTCAAATGGTGTACCAATTTCAGTGACCTTTTTGACCAGAAGGGACTTTAAGTCCTTAATAAGTTAAGTTTAAATTTTGTGCACGGAGAATTTTGCCTATCTGCTCGTTGGCCGAGTTGCTTATTTTTACCTAGAAACTCTAATTTTAATTGCAAAAATTGTTCTTTAAACTGTTTTTACTTGTATTTGATGTTTTAGGTTCCGTTGTATTTTACGGTTTTTAACCCCTTAACTGCCGCGGGCGTATACATACGCGCTCAGCCGATGCGTTAACTGCCCCAGGCGTATATACGTCCTTCCAAACTGCTATCATTTGCTTTGCGCTGCTACACCTAAAATTATCGCAAAGTGAACGAATCGGCTGCGCATCTGGGGCGTTGGCGTAACGCATCGGCGCGCATCTGGGCGCATCTGGGGCAGTTAACGCATCGACTGAGCAAGGCGTATATATACGCCCGCGGCAGTTAAGGGGTTAATGAAGACCTTTTGAGATTTTAATGTATTTTTGCCTTTGACCGAATGAGAAATATATCTCTAATGAAATTCGAGAAAATAAGTTTAAACGAAGTGCAGCAAAAGATGCGTATAATTTAATAGGCTGGTAACAGGAAGTCATGTTAAAATATTTTCTTCCTCCTGTTCGCATGCCTTCGTGGTGTAACGATAGCACACTCGGCGCGTATTCGACACGTCAAGATTCCAGTTCGGCGAGGACACGGCTCACTTTTCATGTCCTTTCATGTCTTTTCATATATTTTTAACCTGTAAGTTTGTTAGTAATAGCTGTGTGTTTTTTGTTCTTATTAAAACTGTTTGCCTGTGCTTGATATTACACATAAAATTCCTTTTCTAGGGATACGTTAACCTCGCAACTGCTGTCAATAATTTATGTCTGGATATTATTTATCCAAGAGTAAGTACCTTTTAAATGTTACTGGATTTCTGAAGTTTTAAAACAAAAAATATCTAACCATTAGAACTTTATTTAATAATAACTGCTAGTTTCGTTATTTTATTGTATAATTCTCATTAATTCTTCGTTCATATTTTCATTATATTAGTTTGAATACTTTTTTTTTTACATTTAGTGTTTAATTTTTTTATTACCTGGCTTATAATGAAGAGGTGTTAGTGTTTGCTCCGCAATAATATTTACTCTAAGCTACCCATAAAAGCGTAAACTATATTCAGATTACTAAAAAAGGCGAAAATGCTGTAGATTTTGGTGAGTAAAAATTTTGTTGTTGTTAGTTCTCATATTATGAACACCAAATCGCAGCTGTTTGAAATTTTAATAAATTTAACATGCTTTCTTCTATAATTTGTTTTCATGGCTTCGGCAAAGCAATCGAAATCCAATATTTTTAGTTACCTATTTTTTAAAAAAATTAAGAAGGGCTTTTCCCTAGTTCCATACCGTAAGTCCGCCGCCTAAGAGGTTTAGGCGGCCAACTGCTGTGCCGAAGGTCCCGGGTTCGAATCCCGGAGAAGGCATGGATGTTTGTAAATGTTTAGTGTCCGTGAGGCTTGAGGGCACTCTAAATATACGGCTAGCCGGAATTCTTCTCGAGAGGTTGGTGGTAGGGAAGAGGGATGGAAGACTCATCTCCCCCGGGATACTCTCCATCAAAATTGGGGACGGAACTAAGCTAAATCCCACTATCACCTGTAAGGGGAGCCCACCAACGGCCGAGCGGTAAAGTCGCTGAACTCTGGTAGTTCGGTCCGAGGTTCGAATCCCGCGAACGGGCTGGCTGCATGCATGGGCGTTTTCGTTGTGTTCCCTTGTTAACGTGTATACGAGCCAGTTCTCTTAGAAGTCCCACGAGGCATCCCTCCCTTAGGCAGATAGTGTGCTTTGCCATAATTAAGTACACCACACCACCACCATTTGTAAGGTGCTCAAGGCTGTTGCCAACGACAGCTGCATCTTGCGCTCCTTGCCACGAAGAATTTCGTGGGTTTAAGCTGACTATAGGTCAGACAAGTGAGCATTAATCAACAACAACAATGCTGTTATTCCGGATTTAAAAAAGCACTTATTAGAAAAATGATTCTTTTATATTGTTATGAAATACCCAGGCGCGGTAAGATAGCTTCCCCGCAAAGCAGTTTTAGGGTTGCTATAAAATGTCAAGGGAAAACAGAGTTGCCACATTTGGCAAGAAATCGCCCATTTTGCATGCCATGGACGGATGGAGAAACTTCTGGAACGAATTCTTACCGGTTTAGCCCAGAATGTTCTCGAACACAAGCCGAAAGTTACATAGACCCTGCTGGTCCGCGGTCAGTCTAGAGTGCGAGATAATGTGTCTCGAGTTAGTCTGTCTGTTCGGAGTCGATCGAGTTGACAGCCGGGCAGCGAGTGCTGAGTTGGTCGTCGAGTGCAACGAAAGAGTCTCTTTATCGCGGTTAGTGCATCGTCAAGAGAGTGTGGAGCTCCGGGAACGACTGAACCGAAGAGTCGGGAGCTGTGCTCTGTGTGTCGTCAAGTGCATCGCGAGTTGTAGCGTGGAGAGTCTCGAGAGTACGTGGAGTTCCAAGAACGACCGAGCAGAGTCGGGAGCTGTACTCTGGTGCTTTGCAGTGAAGCTTTCTCCACCGTTATAGCCTGATAACCTGAAGGCTGTGACGCTGATGGTTCCAGCGAATGTATAATAGATCTTCGACGAATGTAAAACGTGACTTTGGAGCTGTCCTGATTAATATTGGCTAAATAAAGTGTGTTTCGATACTTCGTCAAGTGTCGTCGTTATTCACTCCAAATCTACGAACCCCGTGCGAACGTGAAGGAAGAAAATAACGTAACAGTATTAAACGGTATGTTATCTCAGAAAAAGTCCGATTATGTTTCAGAATATCTATGTTAGAACATTGCTATATATATAAATATAATATATATCTTAAGTCTCGCTTTCGAGACACGAAAATATAATTTTCTTATGAACAGTTTTTTAGTCCTAATATCTTGAATTAATAATTCATTGTAGGTGTTCATAATAAATATTTTCCTTTAACCCTGCGTTTAAATGATGTTATTTTTACCATCTGGATCAGGAGTGTCCAACTGTATGTATGACATTTCATAGCCAGTATCACATGCAGCTTGAGTCACACAAACAAAAGATGAAATTTGAAAACGAGAAGCGGTTAAATTAATTTTAATGGATAGCTTAGTTAAATGTATTGAACATGCATCTTTAAAATTCAAAAATAACCGTAAGTGATGTATTAAAGAATGACAGCATTCGAAACCAAGGTATTCTCACATTACGAGTATCAGCTTAATTCATTCTATAGTGCTTTCCGGATAAAATCATGTAAATAACAAAACCTACGCATAATTGGAAAGACTTCTGCACGCACTAATGATTATATTTCAGTATATCTGTTTACTCCTTTGTTGGAACTTGTAAATGGTTGCAATCCGATATGCAATGTAAAGTTAACTGATTTAAGCAGAATTTTGTGAGATATATTTAATTAGATTTTTCAGTGTTTCATGAACATTTCTATACCTATGAAGCTAAATATAATAGGAAGAAACATTGTAGCGAGTTTGCTAAAAAGTTACCAGGAGCTGTAGCTCCGCGAAATAGTTCAACGCAGTATTACTAAAATATTAACATAGAAGAAAAATTTTTTGAAAAAATTATTAACATGGAAAAAAGAAGGAAAAACTGCTTACACGCGAAATAAAACTGTTTAAAATCAATGTTGGAAAACTTGTGAATGCACGAAAAAACTAATCTGATCGTTGTGACATGTGAAAAGTTAATAATATAAAATAGATCGACGGAACAAGTTTAAAACAAGAAAAAAAAAAAAAAAAAAAAAAAAAAAAATCTGAAATGTTTCAGATTTTAAATTACGTCCAAAGGGGCGTTTTTTAACATTTTGTTGTGTTACCTTTCTTTATTAAATATCATGTTCCTCGCACTTAAACCATAAGATCCAGTGCAACAGCAATATCGCAAAATAGTTTTTAAAACGAGCATATCTTTAGAATTTCGATACAGAGACTCACGCGCTGGAGATAAAAATGTTTTTTCTGCACAACGTTGCCATTGCTCGCTTTGAAATCCTTGAGTTTGTTAATCAAAAATTCGTCAAAGTTCTAAAAAATAGGAAATCGATCATAAACAAATTCAAATTTCAAATTTGGTCTTCACATGCTCATATTCGTTGGAGGATTACGTTATTCAAAATTCGATGACTCTATGTACCGTTGTTTATCACAATACGAGAAATATACATTACATTTACGCAGATTTTCATTATTTAATTTCTTCAAATATAATGCAGGACTCTAACATTTGGTGGCAACAGTTTGAAAAGTGAAAACCGACATTTATGAGTCCGATGCAAAATGCCAAAACGAAACTAATAGTCCTTCGGGATTCAAATCCCTTTGGACTAATAATGAAAAATCTGCATAAATGTATGTATATTTCTAGTATGTGATAAAACAACGGTACATAGAGTCATCGAATTTTGAATAACGTAATCCTCCAACGAATATGAGCATGTGGAAGACCAAATTTGAAATTGAAATTGTTTTATGATCGATTTCCTATTTTTTAAAACTTTGACGAATTTTGATTAACAAAAACTCAAGGATTTCAAAGCGAAGCAATGGCAAACGTTGTGCAGAAAAACACATTTTTATCTCCAGCGCGTGAGTCTCTGTATCGGAAATTCTAAAGATATACTCGTTTTAAAACTATTTTGCGATATTGCTGTTGCACTGGATCTTATGGTTTAAGTGCGAGGAACATGATATTTAATAAAGAAAGGTAACACACAAAATGTTAAAAAACGCCCCTTTGGACGTAAATTAAAATCTGAAACATTTCAGATTTTTTTTTTTTTTTTAATTTTTTCAAATATAATGCAGGACTCTAACATTTTGTGGCAACAGTTTGAAAAGTGAACCGACATTTATGAGTCCGACGCAAAATGCCAAAACGAAACTAATAGTCCTTCGGGATTCAAATCCCTTTGGACTAATAAAAATGATTAATACATAAATTGCAAACATTATAATTAAAAAATAAATTGCAAAAATTATAATTAAAACATAAATTGCAAAATTACAAAAATTTACAAAGCGGAAAATGGTAAATTAGCCCAATCGGACACCTCAACCAGGCTTTTCAAGGGAAAAGATCTTACGTTTCATTACTAATTAGTTTTTCAATTTCTATTTCGATTATGAAGCTAAATATAGATATACCTAGTATTACAAAAAGACTGGTTCCTTTTTCCATTAAAATTGTTATTCATAATAAATATTTTTGGATTAAAAAGTTAATGTACTTTTACTAAATGAAATATAAATTATATTATAATAGTTGATAAATATTAAATTCTGAAAGCAGCCTTTAACTAATTTTAACCGGGCGATGCAGTTCTTGTCACATTTTGTTAGGTTATATCCAGAAGTAGACCTTGGTCCATATCCAGAAGTAGACCTATATCCAGAAGTGGACACCTTGTAGAGACAATAGGTTAATTGGAAGGAGGCGAGATTAAAAATGAGCTATCGCCTTCGCCGGGAATCGAACCACGGACCTCTGGAATACCGGCCCAGAGTGCAGAACCACTACACCACGAAGGCACGGGAGAAATATCTTATATACTCCCCCTTTTTAAAGGGCGACTGGGGGTTTTAGGAGAACCCAATCGCCAAATCCTGGGGGAGGACAATTATCATCCAACACCCTTTTAGTTCGGGCGCTACTGTGGAGGCATTAGGAATTTTTGGAAGCAAGAGAGATGAAAAATTAGCAACCGCCTTCGCCGGGAATCGAACCACGGACCTCTGGCATACCGGCCCAGCGTGCAGAAGCACTGTACCACGAAGGCACGCTAGGAAGGCGGGAGAAATACCTTATTATCCGAAAAGCAAAAAAAATTGCATTTATTTTTTATATAATAGTCCGATTTTTAATGCAACACATTCTAATGATAATGATATAATTCTACTGATAATAGCTCTTAGATAAAAACAAATGCTGTATTTTTAAATATTAATTTATTTAATTAAAGAAATGAGTGATCTAAAATGTATTGTATGTACTAAGAAGCTTACGTTTTATGTGACAGCTCACAAGCAAAGATGTTTGGCACTGTGATTCATCCATGTTGCTGTATAGAGAGGGTTATGGAATATTGAGGTTAGTTTCATTTATCTCCTTTCTTGAGAAGTTAAGCGATCACTATAGAGATTTTGTAATGTAAATCCGAATTTTTGAGATACCATGTTGCCTTAGAGTTAACGAAGGATTTACGTGATTTTTAAAATAAAAAGAGATCTAAACTTAGACATGAGTGATATAGGATTCAAAAATTATTAACCTGCAGAAAAAAAAAAAAAATCAAAAGTAAGCCACATAAACATAATAAATCAAAAATCTGTAATTAGCCTCAAACATAACTGGTGTTACGGGATCCAAAGATTTTTAAAATGAAAAAAAAAATTAACCAACAGTAAGTCAAATATATAAAAATAATGCAACTTGCCTCAAAACATAACTGGTGTTATGAGACCTAGAATTTTATTAACTGCAGGGGAAAAAAAAAAATCAGAGTTAAACCAAATATATGAAAAAGCTGTAATTAGCTTCAAACGTAACTGAACGTGATATGGGATCCAAAAAAATTTGAAATTGCAGGAAAAAAGTGTAATCAAAAGTAAACTTGACAAATTAAAAAATCTGATGAGTACACCACATGACTTCCTTGTAAGAAACATTCAATTATACGCATTTTTCCCTGCATTTCATTTAAACTTATTTCCTCGAATTTCATTAGAGATAGATTTTTCATTCAATTAATTCAATTCTCACTTCACGACAAGGCAAAAATATATAAAACCTCAAAATATCTTTATTAAAAATTGAAAAATATAGAAAAATATAAAACATCTAATACAGTTAAAAGAATTAAAAATAAGATTTTTGCAATTAAAATTAGAATTTCTACGCATAAACAAGCAATTCGGCCAGCGGCAAGAAGGCAGATATTTCGGTGCACAAAATTAAAAGTTTACTTCTTGTCCCACTCTCTCCAGTTTCTTGGAGCCACCCCCAAAAATTATACCATATCAAATATCAAAAAGACTAACTTAAATTTCTCATAAAGGGCCCTATATCTAAAATTAGTATCTCGTCAAATATAAATCCAGTCATGCTGCTACGGTAAAAAAATTAGACTTAGCCGCACTTAAACAACTTTAAAATTGTTGACAATGCTACAACTATTGCATGCAGATTAACTAAAGGCATAAAAACCTTAACCGGAAGATAAGAACAACATAATTCTATCATTTTTAAAGCAAAAAATGCACAATTTACCAACATATAAGAATTAAAAAAAACTGAGCTCAGTCAGCCGAGTAACAGAGTGGATAACAGAGCTGAGTAACATACATATACTGTGCATAACATATATTATTAATGTTAAGAATAACTTTGCTTTGACTCCAATTTACTTTTAATTTTAGATTCTTTGAGTCTCTCTCTCTCTCTCTCTCTATATATATATATATATGTAATAATAAAATTCCATAGTCAAAATTACACTTAAAATTCTAACTGTATGTTCTTTTCATTTTTAATGGCGACGGTCTCTTATTTGAAAGTACGTGGAATTAAATTCACAGCCCCGTAGACAAGTTGTTTTTACCGCTTTTTCTACACGTACAGTTATAAAATGTTCTGGAAATATTCAAAGCGAACTGGATTGGCTGACGAGGCTGACATCATTTCGTGGAAGCTCCGCCTTTCCAGAGGCTATAAAAGGACTCGCAAAGGAATATCGGGGGCTTTTTCTTAAATGTCAGGATGCAGTAAACTTCATACAAAAAGTTATTAGTAATTCTTTTTATTTACTCCGGATATCTGATTTTGTAACTGCTATTTCTCCTGAATAAAAATAAATGGATCCTGTTTTTTTAAACTTATCGTCTGATAATTTAAGCTACGACTAAAGCTGGTACATCACATATATATATATACTTTTGGTATCTCCAAAAGTATCCCCTCCTATTTTTGATTGGAATCAAAATAGGAGGTGCATAACTACATGTCATAGCAGTCCTATATACAAAATATCAGCGTTCTGAGACTACTCGGTTTTGAGTTATGCGAGGTACTTACATACGTACAGATGCCACGAAAAAATCTCTTCTGGATCCATTTTAAATCAGTTTTATAATATTTTTTTTTTGGAGGGGGAAGTCCTTTATTCTGTCCATATGTACAGATATTACACCAAAACATCGTTAAATTGCATTCGATAGCGGTCAAAATGAACATTTTCGTTGAAATATGGTACCTGGAAAAAAAAAAAAAAAAAAAAAAAAAAGATTAACTTGTACAGCTTGCTTATTGTAATAAGTCATTAACTTGTTTACAAGAGTTTTCACATCAGTAATTTATAAATTTTCAAATGTTAAAAATCGTATAGAATTATTAGAGTTTTTGTTACTGGAGATGTGAAAAATGAGCAATGCCCTCGCCAGGATTCGAACTCCAGATCTCCCAAATACGCTTCGAGTGTGCTTTCCAATCACACCTCGAAGGCATGCGGAAAGAAGGGAAAAAAATACCTTATAATGCGTTATTAGTAATCTCATTTTTATTCCACTAGAATCATACTCACAAAATCATATAAAAAATTCCTTCAACTTCAAATATTTTATGTTTAAATTATGCAAATAATGTTAAGAGATACATACGTGCCGATATTGAAATCTGCCATTATTTTCTAGAACATGAATGCTCTAAGATTCTGTGAATAAAATCTCCTTTTTTGAAAAAAATTATATTTATCAATACTTTTCATGACAGTCTAGAAGTGCTACTTACTTAATCTATCAACAAGAAAAACCTTTCCCTAAAGTGATATTTCATTTTTAAGTTATGTACGAATACAACCATTTTGCTTTCCAGTTTGTCCCCAATCAGTGGAACATGATCTCAAATTTTAAAATTAAGTATCTCCGTAAACTTTTGGCTGAGTATAAACTTTCACTAAATATAGCTATGCATAATAGAGGACTGTATAAAAAGTTAGACTTCGTAATTTTTAGAAGTGATTTTATAATTTTAAGTGCCAAACATGAATATTTACGTCTTTCCAAAAAAAATTTTTTTTTTTTTTTTTTTACTGGAAGAATATGTTTACGACTAACAGTTGCGAAAATAAAGATCGAATACAGACTTTTTGGATTCTGTGTATTATTACTTGTTTCTTATTTTAAGTATCATGAATTTTTTATATTTTTTCCCTCCTTTTCGTAGACTGAGGAAGGCGCTGGCTAATATAATGACAATATTCTTGGAAACTCACAAGCCAGTACAGCCAACTGATGTAAGTATTTTTATAATCTAAAAATTTTTCTCTTAATAGAAATATTGGCCCAACAGCGGCCGAGCGATAATGTTCCTGGACACTTTCGTTCCGAGGTTCGAATCCCGCGGACGGGATGGCTGTTCTTTCGTGGTTTCCCCATGTGTAACGTGTTAATACGAGATCCTTGGCTTCTTTTCATTTGCTATGTTCTAACTGTGACCGTGTTCTTTGGCAATTAAATTACTGGCATAACTTTCCCCTCTCGATTTTCAGACGATGAAATTAGTTACAAATGGTAGAAAAGTACGCGAGGAAATACGATATTCATAAAATAATTCTCTAGCTTTATTTCAAACAGTAGTTATGAGTAAACACAGGTTTGAATTTGTTTTTTATTAATAAAAATATATTACTTTACATTTACTTATGACACATATATGTTTTGACACAAATGAATATTTTACTTATGGCACATGAAGCTGTATTTTTCTAGCTATTACTAATATTTTTAAATTCAATTTTTTAAAAGTTTAAATACAAAGAGAGAAAATGGAGGAAGATATTAAACCTAAATTTTGGAAGAAGGGTAAAATTTATAAAATTCTAAAAATTAAAAGTAGTAATTAGGAATACCGAAAAATTAGATTTTCATAAGTTACTAAGAGAAAGAAAATAGAAAAACTAAAATTTCAGCAAAGGCAAAATGCGCAAATATGTAAAATTCAAGAACTATATTAAACAGAAACCCAAAAAGTTTTTTTTAGAAAAGACGCCAAGAAAGAACAAAATTATACGAAGGAGAAAACAGAGTAAGAAGCAAAAGCTAAATGCTAAAAGGCAACCTATATTTCTATAAAACTTTTCAATTTAGATTTTGAATTTTAGATTTAAAAACAACTAAAAATAACCAATAATTATATTTAAAATAGGACAATGTAATACTTTGAAAATTTTTTTCCCCAAGAAAAGACGCTGAGTACCACCTAAGGACACCCGTGCTAAAAAAATAAGAAGCAAACACTAAAAGAAAAGGTACGAAAGGGGAATTAAAACATACAATTAACACATGAGGTAAAGGTTGCATCTCAGAATGCAAATAGGCAACCAAAGTTAGCATAAAACGGGATCCCGCCGTTACGACACAACAGCCGGACTTATGCATTTTGAGTTAGCAAGTAACGATAGAATCCGAGATAGCCAAAGCGGAAGCATGAGACGAAGTCACCATTTGCACGATGATATGCGTTGGAGGGGCTGTTGGGAAGTCGCAAGCTGGTGCAAGACAATCCGCTGTTGCGAGAGAGCTGAATGTGCATCGTAGTGTCAACAACAGGTTGTGGAATCGTTACCAAAGGAATCAATATCCCTGTAGGAAGACGTGGGTCTGGACGCAGGAGGATTACCACAATGGCCAGACGGCAATTACCACGCAGGAGGATTACCACAATGGCCAGACGGCAATTACCACCGCAGGATTACCACAGAGATGCCAGACGGCAATTTCCACGCAGGAGGATTACCACAATGGCCAGACGGCAATTCCACGCAGTAGGATTACCACAATGGCCAGACGGCAATTACCACGCAGGAGGATTACCACAATGGCCAGACAGCAATTACCACGCAGGAGGATTACCACAATGGCCAGACAGCAATTACCACGCAGGAGGATTACCACAATGGCCAGACGGCAATTACCACTGTCGCTTCCAGTTGCTATGTGCAAGACACGTAGATTACTAACAGCACGACAACCGGCGTCGCATCTCTCTGCCGGCCCGTATCCGGGCAAAGTGTGTCGCGAGGGTAGTGAACTGCACGCCCGACGACCTGTGGTTTGTGTTTCTTTGTCCCCATCGAATGTTACAACGCGGGTGAATTGGTCCCGTGAACATCGCAGTTAGAAACCAGAGCAGAAGGCCACGTATTCTATGCGGATGAGTCTCGATTTTTAACACCCAAAACGATTTCCGAGGGGCAATGATATGGCGAGAGTCAGGAACATGCTATCGGGCGCCAAACATCGTCGAAAGAGACCATTACAGAGGAGAAGGAGGCTTATTTTTATGTGCTGGAATAGTCACGAACGGCCGCATCGACCTCTACGTGATTCCTGGTAGTTCCGTCTCAACCGCCCCATCTAGCGACGAAATTCTGCATTTCCTTCTGAATCTTCTTTATCGCTGCAATGGAAACCGACGCGATATTTATGAAAGATAACTTCCCGCATAGAGTTCGAGTGGTGCGGAGTTATCTAGAGAGTGAAACCATTCCACATCTGACGTGGCCTGCTCGATCAACGGACCTGAATTTCATAGAGCATGTGTAGGACATGTTGGGACGACGGATATCAGGTAGTGGGTGCCATCAGGCAACCTCCACGAGTTCCGACATGCATTACTACAGGAATGGACGCTACTGCCACAAATCAATGACACTATTGCCGTCTTGCCTCACTATTGGTCAAGCATGCATTTCAGCTAAAGGATATCATACTCGTTATTGCAGGGATGTTTCCATTGCACATTCTTTCGACCCATTTGGTGTTTCGCGATCAGATGGTCAAAATACATGCGCTTTTGTATGTCTTCCTCTTATTGTTTGCTGTGTAGTCTAGTAATGCCACACCAACCTCTTAGATCAGTTTCACGCATATCCATTACATGCTTTTTGTTTTATTCCGCCTTTGTTGCTTATTTTTTAGCAGGTGCGTGAATACAATAGTGAAAATCAAAGTAAAAAGCCAAAGGCAACCTAAATATCCAAAATTAAATTTCAAAATTAAAAAGAAAATGAAAATAGCTAATTAGCTAAATGGAAACAATTTTTATAAATAAGTAAAATCTTAAATTGACAGTTTGATCAATTATTTTCAACTTATACAATTATTTTCAGCTTTTCTGCACGGCTGGTGTTACTAGCTGTATTGATCTTCTGAGCCACTGTATTGCTGATCCAGGAGGTAATGTTTAATATTCCAGTTGCTTTCCTTATAATTTTCTAATGTAAATATAATTTACTGAATTTACAGAGTAAGAAAAGAAAATACTATTCTTAAAAAAATTTTCTCACTGTTTAGCCCGATTTGATTAAGTTTTAATTTAAAAAGAAACTTTATTCGATGACAAGGAATTTAGTCCTATCAAACTAAGCTAGCTTAGAAGCATGAAAATCTGCCATTTGCTAATTTTTACTGGTTTCGCTGACAAAAGCCTGTTCTTTAAGGGCATAATTCAGCGACCAAAAAATATACAGTCAAAAGTCGTTAATTCGGACACCCATAATCCGGATCTCAAAGCTACAAACTTTCTGCGCATGCGTCTCGTTGACGCATGCGCGTAAGACCTTTACGGCTGCGAATATGCGTGTGCGCATGCCCAAAATACGTTTACGCATACGCGTTTAATGTATAACGGACGGTATAAGCTAAGCTAAAATTATCTAATTCAGTTAATGTTGCAGATTGCGTTGTTCCTTAATCTTCGAATTGGATCCGGCTTTATTTTTTGCAGATTGTTAGAGCAATTTTATAAAGTAAGCTTGAACTTTTCGATTTATGTCAAATAGAATTTCCGATATATACTAATATGTAAAGGATCTACAAGCGAAAGTATGTTTCGAAGTCCATTAAACAAAATGTGGAATTGCTGCAAAAAATGGATAAAGGCATATCCTTTGTTTATCTAAACATTCCGAAATCTCTTTATCAATTTCACGCTGCTCTGCGGCGGGGGGAACGCCGCGGCGCGCAATGAATTGGAAGTTGATCTGTCAGCACTATCCTTATCTTCAGGGCAGATGTTTTTATTTTATTTGGCTTATAATTCCTTACTAAATGTAGTATTTCATCTCGATGTACTCCGTTTTTGAAATGATTTAAATCAAATTCCTCGTCATTATAATTCGCTTCCGATAGCGAAGAAAGTAAAGTAAACAAATAAATATTAAGCTGCTTTTTTTTTTTTTTTTTTTTTTTTTTTTTTTTTTTTTTTTTAAATTTTGATACCCTTTAGATCGTAATTGTTCTTTATTTCATAAATTACGGTTTCATATTTTTAATTTTATAATTTCTGCATGCCATCTTACCAGATTTAAAATGATGATGTATAATCCGGAAAAATCGATTATCCGGAATCGCCGAAGTCCCGACGAGTCCGGATTAACGACTTTTGACTATAGTAGTCAAAGGGTTTTCAACCAGGGGAAAATTCGCCCCTAAGAGGAATTTCATAGTTTCTGGGGAAATACGGCGAACCTTTTATTTACATCATAAGTGTGTTTTAGTTTACGAATATAAAAACTACTTTTATGAATATATGATAAATTTATATCATAGAAACTTGGTATTATCAATATTTTCTATACTTTTCCTTGTTTAGTTCATAAAACACATTAGAAAATAATCTAATTTTAAATAAACGTACATGTATTTTTGAAATTTCGGAAAGGAGTGGGGAGGGGGAATGATCGTCTAGCAATGGTGAAGGGGCGCATGGGGTAAAAAAGATTGAGAACCCCCGTGGTAGTCTGTTAATACAAGACCTCGACCAGGTGAAAAACAAAATTCTTATCATAGCTTTAGTAAATTTTAGGAGATAACTCAAATGATTTGAGGTTTTGCAAGAATTGAATGTCTTCATGCGATAGGGGCATCTCATTTTTTGCAAGAATTGAATGTCGTCATGCGATAGGGGCATCTCATTAAGTTTATCAGCGAGATAATATAGTTATTAATAGTGCAGTCTGAGGATAATGTTAGCTCCTAGCGGAAGCAACTTTTAAAGAATCATGTCTTACAAAGGCCACCAAACCGTACCACTTTAAGCAGGTAAGGTCTTGCTTTTGTTGAAACTTAGGCAGTTTGCTCTTCCTCCTCCACGTACTCATAGGCTTCCTGTTAATGCAGAAGCCCTGTTCTTCATCCTTTGTGATAACAGAATCCAACCAGATGCTGGTATAGAGAATTTTGTGCACGCCAGCTGTCAGTGATGTTGCACTCTTGTAGCTTGTTCCTCAAGCTAATAAATAGCGTACAGGAGATGAGCAGCACTGCGGGCCTCGAAGGCAGCGGTTTTCAGCGTGTGATATAAGCACATATGCCGGTAGAATTTTGAGCGCTACATTATGAAACCTCAAAAGTCTCTAAATTGCCAACACTGCTATTGATTCTGAGAACTGAGAGATGAAGAGGAGCTATATTTGTTTATTATTCATATCACTTTTTGCGTTTATCGATTTATAAAATAAATTTAACCCTTTGCACTTGATAAATGACTCTCGCTTATCACTTGTTTTCATGCAATAACTCGAGTAGTTACTCTCGATGACCACTCAGTTTGAGGCAATAATTCGAGCGGTAACGATGGTTTTAGGTTAGGCTTAGGTTTCGTTTGGGTAATATCGCTTTACGAGCGTATTCAACAATATATGCGTTTAAAACAACTGCCAGTCTTTAATCTTCAATAGATTTCTTAGATTTATTGTTATATATATGCGTCTTCGATGTTAGTTCGAACTCGACAGTCGTGGCAACAAGAATATTATTTTAAAAGTTACGGAGCCCAGTAAGCATGGAATACGATGAACGAATCAGTTCGAGTGAAGATGAGTTCAATTTGTCGCTGATGAAGAATGAAATTACGCCTATGCACATATTACTAGACAATAGAGAGGTGCAAGGCAGTGGTGAAAATAGCGATGAAATAAGAGGCATAAGAAGGAGAAAAATTAAGGGTAATAGATAGTGAACGTGAAAAAAGTCGATGATTCCGCAGAAGAATCAGAAAATTCAAAACGCATACCGTGAATAGAAATACTCCAAAGAATACCGTTTCTATTCGGCGAAAGAGCTGCAGGACCGCAAAGTATCTTCAGACATAAAAGAACAGTTAGATTTCAGTGAAATCATTTTTAAGTTATTTGTAAGAAATTCACCAAGTATGCGTAAAATTGTCTCAAGTTGCTGGTTCGTGCGAACAAAAAAGGCCTCGAGCGCAAAGGATTAATGTATGTGTATATGTAATTTTTACTTTATTTACGTTTGTTCACATTATACAGGGGGCGGCAGTAAATCGGGCGATTTGGCAACAGCGTTTGTTTTGTTTCGGCTGGAGTGGAGAGAATGATTCTACCTAATTCCTAGTTCCACTAATATGCCGCGAATACCATGCAGTATGCACGACTTTTTCCGGTGGGTGGTTGAGGGCGCATCATAGTGTAGATCTCTCGTGTGAGCTCTGAGCGGGCTGGGATTGGAAGTGGTGAGTGAAGAGTGTGAACAATTGTCACGTGGGCTTCAAGAAGCAAGGTAAATTGTAGGAAGGTCCTGGAAAGCCCTGAATTGAGAAAATTCGAGCAGAAATACGATTAAAAGCATAAAATAATGTACATATTGATGATTTCCGTTATTCCAGAGTGCAAAATGCAAAAACAATTTTAGCAGTAGTGAGTTCTAAGTTGCAAAGAACTGATTTACAGCTTGACTCATGTTTCATCGGTGACAACATAAAATTTCCAAGAAGCAAAACATGTAGTATATACAAAAATAGAAAGAAATATTGGTGAATGTGGGCATGTTACCCATCAAAATGATTAGAAAAATTTGACCTAACTCACGGGAGTAACAAAGGATGAGCAGGATAAGTCAATTTCACTTTAGTTTACAGTCTGCATATTCATTTGGAGAGTGTTCAGCAGAATTTGAGTTCTCTGATTGAAAACTAGTACAACCATTAAAGTTTTCTTTTTTTAGTAACAATGGAGCAGTGGACAGGAGTGCAATGTGCTTGGCATTTTGTAAAGACGCTTAATCGTAAAGATATTTATCGTAATAATGTTTTTCCATCAGCCCATGCCATCAAGGACTGGGTACAAAACTTTGAGGCCATTGGTTCGACAATAAATACGAGAGGTGGTAGTGAAAACCAGTGCCATCACTTGAGAACATAGCGGCAGTGACAGAGGCTATTAAACGGAGTCCACGCCGCATTGGAAGTCATTCTCTGGCACTTGAGTTTTCAGACCGCAGCGTTCTACGGATCTTACATATGGATCTTCATTTCCACGCCTACAACATTCAAATTGTTCAAGTACCACGGGAACAGGACTATGGTAACAAACTTTAGTTTTGCCAGACACTTCTGCAGTTTATGAATGGAAACCAAAATCCTGTTACTAATTTATCGATGAGTGACGCATCCTATTTCCATTTGGCAGGACATGTTAACAAGGAAAATTTCCGTTACTGGTAGAATTCTTGCGGAGATGCCGCAACAAGTAATGAGAGATATTAGTAGAAGACATTCCGAGTGCATACGGTGGGATGGTGGGCATCTAAAACACATTATCTTTTGAAAAAAAAAATCTGATGTGTACACCACATGACTTCCTTGTACGGAATATTAAATTATACGCATTTTTTTCTTGAATTTCATTTAAATTGATTGGATTAAATTAAATCTACTTCGTCAACAGCGCATGAACCACAATAGAATAAATGCACTCTTTAAAATTAACTATATTTGTTTACTATAACGACACTCTGAATGCACAAAATTTATATCATTTGAAGAATTATCGTTGCCACATGTTCTATTCAAATACTATAATAAAGCTAAAATGATGTATGAAAGAAATTAAGCAAACAAAACAGAAAAGAAACAGTTTTTCACAGACGATTTAGTATTTCTTCTCAATTCAATTAATTCAGTTCTCATATCGCGACAAAACAAAAAAACTACAAAACTCAAAATATCTGCATTAAAAATAAGAAGTAAAATCTTAAACAATTATTTCCTCGAAAAAATTCCAGAAAGGATTAAGCATGATTTAATTCGCAATAATAAATGAAGGCATTATTTTTGTGCTGCTAAGCTTAGTCTCTTTAGATTGGCAACAAATCTACAATTCTGCTGTTTCAAATGTAAGCAAATATGTCCGCCATATTATTTAAAACTTAACCGCACTTAAACAGCTTTTGAATTATTGATAATTGTACAAATATTGCTTCCAGAATTACGAAAGGTATAAAAACCTTAACCGGAAGATAAAAACGACATAACTCAATTATTTTTAAAGCAAAAAATGTACAATTTACAAACATATAAGAGTAAAGAAACTGAGATCACTGAGCCGGATAACAGAGTGAATATATATATAAATATATTTATATACGTTTGGTGCGGCCGATTGCAACCAAAATACGAGGTGCACATCTACATGTTATAGCAGTCCTATATACAAAATTTCAACGTTCTGAAGCTACTCGTTTTTGAGTTATGCCAAATACGTACGTACGCACGTACGTACATATGTTCGAACAGACGCCACGAAAAATCTCTTCAGAATTAATTTTAAAGCAGTTTTATAATTTTTTTGGAGGAAAAGAGTGTTTTATTCTGTCCTTACTTACAGATATCACGCAAAAACATCGTTAAATTGCATTCGATAGCGGTCAAAATGGACATTTTCGTTGAAATATGTTGCCTGAAACTTTTCGCGATTACAATACTTCCTTTTTACTTCGTACAAGGAAGTAAAAAAGGCATTTATATTTTATTTTTTTCAGTTTAAACACTAAATGTTAATCACCTAATTCACTGCCGCGCCTTGTATATTATGCCTGGCGTTTTATTTACACAGCAAGTTGTACACATTTGCTGGAACCGGGATGCATGATGCACCACAGTCCTAAAATTTCTGCAGGCTCATGCATAATTTATTTAGGTTAAAATAACACGCCGAACAAATATTAATTTAGAAGTCAAACAATAAAAATCAGCTTTATATTTGCAAATTTTCACAGTAGTGGTTTCGATGGTTTTACCGAGCCATCAACCTCAGCTGCCAAAGTGCAAATGAAAATTTTCATTTAGTAAATAATCGAGAAGAAAGATACGACTTACCAGAGCTTGTACACTTAAAAGAAGAGTTTGACCTCAATGCAGTTCTGCACTTCCCCGTACATTCTATTTACTTCCACAGCAGAAATTTCCAGAGCGTTCTGGTGAAGAGTTTTTGCCAAATTTTGAAACACACTCGTTCGTCTACCAAGAAACGAAGAAATGATTAGAATGTCTCATATGACAAAATAAAAATGAAAGAGAAATAAAGATGTTTTAATGCAATTTTAACAATACTTAACATATCAAATAAGTAATACATGTGGTAGTTTTAATAACCTTATTTATTTATTTATTTATTTATTTATTTGATATAATAGATGTGATTCTAGCTCCTACTCCAATATACAGTCGGATTTACACTGATCTTAAACAAAGATCAGAGGTGGATTTATGGCCAATTCCAATCATATCGAAAGTATGTATGAATAACTTTGTAACTGTACATTTTATGTTTTATTTTAAATAATCATATTCTTTAAGAAGTCATCTGGATATTTCTATTTTTTTTAGAACATTTCTGTTACTTCAAAAAGAAATTATACTATTTTTTGCTTTGCATGGTAGACGGGCAGAAAATACTTGTATGCTTTTTTTATGATATCTGCTAGCCCACTAGCGGCTAAATTAGCTGAATATTGGCAGTAACGTGTATACGAAGCAGTTATTGTTAAAAAGTTCTCCATGAAGGCATCCCTTCTCTTAGGCAGATAGCCCTCGTGTCCTTTGCTATATAATCAAAATAAACCAAACCAAACTATAATATCAGCTATGCATATAATTAGCATATAAATCGGTGATAAAAACAGTTATCCTTTATACTTATATGCAAAAAAAAAAGTGTAATTATGTCTATATACATTTACGGAATTCTTTACTAAAGGGCATTATAAAAACGGTTTGTTTTACGATAAAATGCAAAATACTTATTGACAGTTTTAATTAAAGCATAACGAATTTTTGATCAGCACATGATAAATTAACTGTTAAATATTTTGAACAATATGCATAAGGTATTTTTAATTTCTATGTTTCGTGTTGTATTTTAATGCAATCATGGAATAGCATATTTGAACTTCATAGCTTTAATCCATCGCATTGACAATCTAAAAAAAGCATTGCCTTAATTTTTAAATATTTGTCCCACTTTTATTCAATTCGTTTTAAATTTGGGCATCATTTAAAAAATGCTTAATGAAAGCAAAGAACGTGAGAGCTATTTTCTTAAAACAGAGGCTTTTCTAGAGGAATTTTTAAAAAGAATATTTATATTGAGTCTGTGAAAAATCATGAAAACATTACAGCCAAGATGTTTTGTTTCCATACCATGAACTTGGGACAAAATTATTGTTGCGTGCGCACGGATTCGTAATAGATAGAATGCAGACAGAATTTATTTTACCAATGAAACACTTCACAGTTCTGGAGAACTTTCCACAAAAATTACTCGTACAGCTCCTTTTCAGTATCACAGAGTATCGGGCCCATTTTCAGAGTTTGCTTACACATGATGTTCCGGAAGAAAAGAAAAAAAAATCAAGATAAATTATGTTTAAAGTTTAATTTGAGGAATGCATCGCATAAAATGACTATAAATATACTTCTACAATTCAAAATATAAAAAAGCAATTGAAACTTTTTAGATATAAATCTTAAAATGTGTGACCGTAGGCAAAAATGCCTGTCCTATTCAAGTTTCATGTTATTCAACCCCTTTGTTTTGTAACCTAATTTATTTTATTATATAAAGAAATTTAATTATTTTAAATATGAACTATTAGTGTGTTAATTCATGATAGCAGATAATTATAGATTTTTTTTTCTTTAAATAGAAAATTTCTGTAATCAGTACAAATCAATAGAAAAATAATTTGCCCTCCACTTCATGTCAAGTCCGTTACCTAGAGATTATTTTACTCAAAATTACTTTGTAAATCTGTCTAAAAAGGGCAGTACATATTCAGTGACATAGATAAAGTAGTCAAGCTTAGTTTGATTATTTTGAATATGTACTGCCTACCTTTAGGTAGATTTACAAACTGCAAAACTTTGATTTGATGATTTTGGGGGTAAAATAATCTCAAGGTAACGGACTTGACATGAAGTGGAGGGCAAATTATTTTTATTCATTTGCTAAATTTTTATTTTATTTTAAATTGTTTATATTTTAAGTTGCAGAAATATATTTATAGTCATTGTATGCAATGCATCGCTCAAATTAAACTTTAAATATTAATTTATCTTAAATTTTTCTTTCTTTTCTTCTGGGACAGGAAATGTAAGCAAAATTTAAAAATGGGCCATCGTCAGTAGTTACACTTCAAACTACTAAAAACGGTAAACACAGAGCAATGCAAAGGGCATCTAAAAGGGCGAAGCTCACAGGGAAGATCTCTTACTGCTCGATACTTAACGCTGAACTAAAAAATTGAGAACTGTGCTTTCTCCGGGCTTGCATAGTTATACCTAGTCCGCCTAGAAATCTTTAGAACCTTCTTTTTCTCGAAATTATTTGAGAGCCGTATATGGTTACAGTTACGTATAGGATCAATTACAGTTATTCAATTACGCCACCTTGAGGGTATAGTCGTTAGGGAAGCCGACTGCGATACCGAAGGGCCCGAATTCGAATCTCGGAAAAGACATGGTTGTAACTGCTCGTCCCTTCATATGAGGCAACGGTGGCCGCCTATTAGGAGCCTCCACAATAAAATGGCCACCATTTCTTAGGAATGGTCAATGTCGAAAAGCAAATTTATTTTTGTTTTACAAATTAGAATCATTAGTGTCAAATATTAGTGACAAAATATGTAGAATAAAAACTGAGTTCAAAGATTTTCTTTTCCCCAAAATTTCTTTTTTCCTTTTTCTTTTTTTAAGATATTGCTTATTTTTTTTTAACTATCTAAGCCTAATAATCGTATCATTATTTTACTTAAGATAGCGAATTTATGCTGTTATATTCATTACTATAAGTTTATTATTTTAATATATTTATATTTGCATGTTTTTAAAGGATAATGAAGAATTGACACCTTTACTTACTATCGATAAAGTGGAAAAGGCGTATGCTGATGCTCTTTCGAAGGTATGTTTCATTCAATGAATTTAAGAATAAAATGTAATTTTTTAAGTATATCAAGAGCTTTTTAATTATATCCTATTTGTTACAACTTAAAAGGACTAAAGTACAATAAGAAGTCAGTATAACAGCCACTTTTGGGGGGGGACTCATACAGTGGACAGTATAAGTTCCCCCCCCCCAAAAAAGAAAATTTAAGTACTTACATATAACTCGGTTTGCTGTTAATATGTACCGTACATGGAAGTAAGAATTAACTACATAATTCTACTTCTTACTGCATTTCGCCCATTTTTTTCAAGCGTAATTCTTGTACAAACATCTTTACTTTGGTAAAACGGTAAAAACTCTAAGCACAAAATTTATGAACTTAATTTTGCGTAAAAATAAAGTAAAATTAAATAAGATTGATAGTACGCGATGCTTTGAAATAAATAAGGTAAAATTAAACAAGATCTGATAATTCTTTTTTAATTTAATGAACATTTTCAGGCAGCGATTTTCCAAACAATAATAACATTACAAAACGATAATATTTATTTGATTATATGATCATTAAATAATTAACATTAAAGTGGATTAGTTATTTTAATAACTCATAAAATTCGGAGCATAAAATTTTCTGAGCGTAATGAAGAGAAAAAAAGAGATAAAATAAAATCTAGAAGCTCTCAGATTTTATATTACGCTCAAAAGGAACCTTTTTTTAAAGTTTTTGTGTGTTACCTATATTTATTGAATATCATGTTCTTCGCCCGTAAACCACATACATTTGAAAACAGCATATCTTTAGAATTTCCGCACTGGAGATAAAACTGTTATTTTCTGTACAGTGCTCGCTCTGAACTCGTTGAGTTTGTTAATCAAAAATTCGTTAAAGTTTTACAAAATATGAAATATATTAAAACAAATTCGAAATTCAGCCGTCCAGATGTCCATGTTCGGGTGGAGGATTACATTATTCAAAATTTGATGGCTCCAGATACTGTCGTTTTTGTTCACAGTGCGAGAAACATACATGTATTCATGCAGATTCTTCATTATTTAATTTCTTTACATATAATACAGGGCGATAATATTTGGTAACAACAATTTGCAAGGAAACACGGACATTTATAGTAAAACAGCGCAAAATGCCGCTTCGAAACTAACAGCCTTTCTAGGCTACCGCCCCTTCGAGCTAATAAATTAAATTAACAGTAAATTTTAAAAAAATCTTATACAGAACTAAAAATAAATTTAAAAAATAATCACTATAAAATACAAGCAAAATTAATTATTACGGTTAAATACAATTTTAATATTAGAATTAAATGTATAAACATTTTTAAGGAGTCAAGAGTGTTTATCACTATGATGTATTATGAAATATAATTGAAATAAAATTCCTTTATAGAAATTGTGCTATAATACTCATCTATAATTTTATAAAAGCAGCACAATTTAGAATTTTAAACACGACTTTCAAAAATTGGTTTTTAAATATTTTAGTATTTTTTACTTATTTACACCAATAAAAAGCATAAAAATTGCAAGGGAAAATTGCTTGTTTGAAATTTTATATTAGCTCAGATTTAAAATTTAACTTTCTAAAAGAAATAGTTACAAATTACCTTACAGCATAGGAAAAGCTAAAAAAATATCCAGTCCTGAAAGCATGCAATAGCTTTATAATTATTTGGAACGTTAATTATGCTTGATAAATATGCTAAATTTTTAAAAAATCAATCTCAATTTCAAAAATAAAAATATGTAGAAATTCTAATTTGTGAAATGAGGCGCTACAACCAGCTTTTTCTTGACAATTATACACGCTGCAATAGGCAACCAATGTTAAATTTCTGCAAGTCGTCCCTACTCCTCCGGATGTGATCAAGGTGACAGCCGGCAACGCCTCAGACGAGGGAGAAAACCCGTTTGGGTTAGTCTATTTCTTATAAGGTCCATGAGCATATTCGGCTTACGTAGTGTAATATTCATTGTTCGAAAGATCTGGAATTCGAATACCGGCGAATGCATAGATGATTTTTTATGCTTCTCTGAAATGAACCTAATAATTATACAAAATGATAAAAAATCACATTTTGCTTAAAATTTTCATAACACGATGCAATAATTGAAAAAATACCGAATTTAAATATCTTACAGGCATAGTTCGTAAACATATTTTTTTCAGTATTCTAGACTTCATTTTGTTTTGTCTGTTTAAGAATTTATCATTATTTGTTCTGTTTTTAAAATTCTGCATTATTTTTTTCCTCTTTTTCAGAAACGAGTGGTTCGGGGAATATTTTTAATCAACCCAAATAATCCTCTTGGCGATGTTTATAGCCCTAAATTAGTGATGGATATTTTAGTGTTTGCCAAGAAGTATGTCTGTTAACAAATATGTCAGTTTTTAATAGATCCATGTATTCTTTTTATTTGAAAAGTGTATTTTTCTTTTTCGCTTAATAATGCTTAATTTTTTTTAATCAAGTAATATTTTATTTTAAAGCTTAAAAAATGATTACTTGCTTTGGATATAATACTTTTATTTTTGGATATATACTTTTATTATAAAAATATATTATATATATATATTATTTTTATTTAAAATAATTTTCTTCATTTAATGTTAATGATGTTTAAAATCGCTGAACAAAATTTAGTTACTCAAATTTATTTGGTGGAAAAATTTCATAACATACAGTGGATGAACAAAAATATGGAAACACCTTGTGAAATGCATGTCTGAAAAGAAAGATTTATTTTAATGAAATATGTAGGTGGCGCTGGCGTTTTTGACTACTGACGCCACCTATCGCCACCTACTGACGCCACCTTCGTAAATGTGCTAAACAATTCAGTTGTTGTCGGAGTACTGTTATGTGAGGTTGTCATTGCATCATGTCAGAGTTAACAGACTTCGAACGTGGGCAAATTGTTGGAGCACGTATGGTAGGTGCTTCCGTAAGCAAGGTAGCCGAGGTGTTTAGTGTTTCAAGAGGTACTGTATCGAAGATTTATTCCGCATATTTGAAAAGCGGGAAAACATCATCTGCTAAATCACAGCGCGGACGAAAGTGTGTCCTGAGTGATCGTGACAGACGATCATTAAGGGCAATTGTGACGAAAAATAAGAAGACCACAGCTGCAAAAGTTCCTGCTGAAATGAATGTTGTGTTACCGAACCCTGCGAGTACCAAAACAATTAGAAGGGAGCTTCATAAACAGGGAATTGCTGGCCGTGCTGCAATTGAGAAGCCACTCATCAGTGATGCAAATGCCCGTAACAGGAAAAGGTGGTGTTGAAGTCATAAAGCCTGGACTATAGAGCAGTGGAAGCGAGTAATATGGTCTGATGAGAGTCTTCTTTCACATTGTTTCCCACTTCTGGCCGAGTTTACGTCTGGAGAACGCCATCTCAAGCCTATAATACAGACTGCTTGTTGCCAAGAGTGAAACATGGCGGGGGTTCTGTTATGGTTTGGGCAGCCATATCGTGGTTCTCTGCTAGCCCCATGATAACTGTGTCAGGGCACATGACTGCCAAGACTTATGTGAACATTTTGGCCGATCAAGTTCATCCCATGGTACAAACTTTGTTCCCCGATAGCGATGGTGTCTTCCAAGACGACAAAGCCCCTGTTCACACAGCTCACATTGTCCAGGACTGGTTTTCTGAGCACGAGGATGAGTTGTCCCATCTCCCCTGGCCACTACAGTCAGCAGACCTGAATATTATCGAACCTTTGTGGTCTACATTGGAACGGAAAGTGCGTTCTCGTTATCCACCGCCAACATCGTTATCTGAACTTGCCACCGTTTTGCAGGAAGAATGGTAAAATACTCCCTTGGCAAACATACAGGAACTGTATTTATCTATTCCGAGAGGACTGCAAGCTGTTTTGGATGCCAACGGGTTTCCTACACCGTATTAAGCAAAGAAACATGTTTTTCTAAAGGTGTTTCCGTATTTTTGTCCAACCCCTGTATTAGTTACTGAATTTCAACAAGACTATCTAACACTTTGCTAAATTAAGTTAACCGAAAAGTGATTAGCACATCAACTTATTATTTCTGTTATTTTCAGGCACAACCTACATGTGATAGTGGATGAATTATATGCACTTTCAGTGTTCCCCGATGGACCACAGTATCACAGTGTTTTAAAATTTCCTGAGATTCCTGATCCCATGAGAACACACGTTCTCTATGGTTTAAGTAAGGTATAAATTTTTCTTTGTTTTTAAGCAGTGTATTATTGCCATCAAATAATACCTTGGCACACTTTCTTCTCTATACTTTCAATACTAACCCTTTCAGTTTGGAAAAGTGCACCGAAGAAGAAGGAAGCACTACACTAATAATAATAATAATAATAATAATAATTGTTCGTATGGTAGACCAGCGGCCGAGTAGTCAAGTCCCTGAACACTGGTAGTTCGGTCCGAGGTCAACACAAACCAGTCCATATATTAAGACACAATAACACGCCGAACAAATACTAATTCAGAAGTCAAACAACAATTGACAGGGGCTTTTCACCCAACATTTATTAATCAAGCAGTTAAAAAATTCTCATCTCAACACACTAAAAGCCACACTCTTATTTTAGGAGATTATAAAAATTCTGTTGTCATTCCCTTCTTTCCATCAATTAGCTATAAAGTTGCACATATTTTGCAGAAATTTAACTTTCGGGTTGTTTATTCTCCCATCAATAAAATTCCGACTTCTATACTCAAGGACCCCATTCCGGATATGAATTCCTGGGGTATTTATAGGATTCCTTGCCAGTGTGGTTTAATTTACATTGGCCAAACTAAGAGAGCCTTAAAATTTCGCGTCAAAGAACATGAGGCATATGTTAGAAAAAAGGAAACACAGAAGTCTTCTGTTGCTCAACATTGTTGGTCCGAAAATCACACTTTCAATTTTTCTGCTGCCAAAATTATTCAAAAAACATCTTCCATTGGAGAACTGGATTTTCTAGAGGCATTTCACATTCATAAAAATCTTTCTGTTCTAGTTAACGATCCTAATTCCAATCCAAATTTGCCTTCGGCGTTTAGAGAAATTATGTTTTAGTTCTGGTTTCGCCAACAGATGGCGCCACTTGCTTATTCTTGTCCAGGCCTTCTTATCTTATCTAATCATTATTTCCTATCTTGTTCATTTGCGGTTTTGCAGCTGAAGATGGTGGTTCGGTAAAACCATCGAAACTAGTCCTGTGAAAATTTTGTAAATATAACGCTGATTTTTGTTGTTTGACTTCTGAATCAGTCCATATATTTTAGCCATGTTTAGTTTTTTAAGACCCTTATTTTTTAAAGCAATCTTCCAGATTGTTTTTAGGGTATAAAAGGAATTGTTTGAAAAGAAATTTCTACGTTATTTTTTTGGCTGTATGCTAATTTCCTTATTCTATAGTAGTTTTAAATTTTTACCTTGAAATCTTGCCTAAAATCAAACGGCGAACCCTAGGTGGACCCAGAACGGGCTCACCGATCATCTAGGACAACTGAGAGTCTGTATTCTTTGTTTCTCCATATCTCATCGGTCAGTTCATTGACAACAATGCTCGTTTCAGCACTCTTTTCGAAGCTCTATTCAATTGGTGTGGGGTACACCCACAAAATTAAACAATAAGTGCTATCTTCACAAAATTTTACTTGTGTACTCCTCTAGGCCTAATTAGACTGCCAACCTCTTTTTTTTTTTTTTTTTTTTTTTTTTTTTTTTTTTTTTTTAAATCAAAACTTCAACTTTAAAAGGTAGCGTGCCGGAAAGGGTTAAAAAGTTCTCCACGAAGGATTCCCTCCCATCCGGGTAGTGCCTTAGGGCGGAACACGTAAATAATAATAATAATAACTGTTGGTAACAAGCAGCATTTTTAAATTATTAGTGGTTATGCTAAATATAAGCATTTTGATAATGCGTGTATCAAATGCTTTTATTATTATTATTATTATTATTATTATTATTACTAGCTGAAGTACCTGATGCCAGTTACGTCAGATTGAGAGTAACAACAGAGAGAACTAACTATACTGCTGTAATCCTTCTCTAGTAACGATGCAAAAATTACGATTCATACTCATACATTTTTAAGGCTGATGCGATAGGAAGCCATATAAAAAATTTGATAGAAAAATAAGCTAATTCTCTATCATTATATCAGCAATAATGGCCCGCAGTTTTTAATGATTTTCGTCTTTCTAATCAAATGGTCGTGAAAGGTCAAGTTCCATACAATATTTCACCTATATTCAATTTTAGTCGATTAAATGTAAAAAAAAATGGATCATAATTGATCAGAAATCAATAGCGCGAACAAACAAACACACAAACAGCCATTCTTCTTTATATGTATAGATTATGTAAAACTTACAAATTTTTAATTAACAAACGCTACGATTTGAAAGAGAGCAGTTACAATACTTTTCGAAATAAAGCATTTGTATCTTAATACCATCGTGCGAGACTGTTGCCACTCGGAAAAATGAGTTTGAAAATTAGCGCTTTCAGAATTTTTAATTAATATTTCGGCTGATTAAATTCGTACGAAGAGCATAATCACATGAAGATTGGAATAGTCGAAATGAGGAATAATGTATTTAATATTTGGCAATGCTATTTTTATTTCATCGCAAAACTTAGAAATTTTTCATTAACAAACTCTACGAATTGATAACAAGCAGTGGCAACAACTTTCGAAATAAAGCAGATTTTCATCTCCAGCTTGCGAGACTGTTGCCATTTGGAAAAATGTGGGCAAAAATTATTGTTTTTCCAAGTTTTTAATTAATACGTCTGATTTTAAATACTTTTTACTTCCTTGTACAAAGTAAAAAGGAAGTATTGTAATCGCGAAAAGTTTCAGGCATATGTAAGGACAGAATAAAAGTTTTCCTCCAAAAAAATTATAAAACTGTTTTAAAATGAATTCTGAAGAGAATTTTTCCTGGCGTCTGTACGTACTTATCTCGCATAACTCAAAATCGAGTAGCCTCAGAATGTTGAAATTTTGTATATAGGACTGCTATAACATGTAGATGTGCACCTCGTATTTGGGTTGCAATCGGCCGCACCAAACGTATATAAATATATTTATGTATATATCCACTCTGTTACTCGGCTCAGTGATCTCAGTTTCTTTATTCTTATATGTTTGTAAATTGTACATTTTTTGCTTTAAAAATGATTGAATTTTGTTGTTCTGATCTTCCGGTTAAGGTTTTTATGCCTTTCGTAAATCTGGAAGCAATATTTGTACAATTATCAACAATTTAAAAGCTGTTTAAGTGCGGTTAAGTTTTAAATAACATGGCGGAGATATTTGTTACATTTGAAACAGCAGAATAGTAGATTTGTTGCCAATCTAGAGAGGCCTAAGCTTCGCAACAACAAAGATAACGCCTTCATTTATTATTGCGAATTAAATCATGCTTAATCCTTTCTGGAATTTTTTCGAGGATGTTCTTAAGTGTTTAAAATTTACTTCGTAATTTTTAATACAGATATTTTGAGTTTTTATGTATATTTGCCTTGTCGCGAAGTGAGAACTGAATTAATTGAATAAGAAATTGTAAATCGTCTGTCAAAAACTGTTTCTTTTCTGTTTTGTTTGCTTAATTTCAATTTTTAATATCAGTACAATAAAAATTTCAGCTTCTTCATATGCCATGTTATTGTTTTTAGTTTATAATACTGAAATATTGGTCTTATTTTATTATACTGTTTATTAAACCGTAATGTTGGAAAGTTAATAACCAATATGTAATTCAACGCATATTTACAGGATTTTGGTTTAGCTGGATTGCGGATAGGTGTAATCCATACTCGATGCAAAGAACTGCAAAACTGTCTAATTCAACTTTCCTTTTTCCCAAATATTCCTTACCCTATTATGGATATAGCAGCAAGATTTTTAGAAGACTTAGGTATGTTACAAGTAAATAAAAGGTTTTTTTATATATTTTTTAAATTCTAGATATCATTATTTTCAGATTCCAAAGCATTTATTTAATACTGATTACATTCAATCGTTATCAACAATATTTTTGGATTTAATGCTCATATATGAAAAATCTTCGGTACTTACGTACTATCGCAACCCTCTTAATAGAGTAGACACATTTTATGAAAGTGCAAACTCTGGCAACCATGCTCATAATCGTTTCAGTCAAGCAACGCTGCCATTTTCGTATGCGTTCTATTTTCTTGTATTCCAAGTTCCAACTGTTTTTATACATAAATTATGATATTTTTTGCCTTAAAATTACTTTTAAAGTATGCGCTTGTGGAATTCGACAGCAATGGAAGAAACTACGGTAAAAATTCGGCAGTAATGGAGAATTTTCCTACAGGAAACAAAGACGAAATGCGTTTTCTAGATAGCCGCTGCTGTTCAAGATTGCGCGAAGCCCAGTTTCCGCAATTCCCTGATGTGTTAAGTGAAAACAGATCGATGTATACTTCGAAAGAAGAATAACAAAACAAGACACACACACACAAACAAACAACAACAAAAAATAAACAAATAAATAAATAAATAAATAAAAATATAAAATTAAATAAAAAATAAAAAATAAATAAAAATAAAATAAAATAATTAATAATAATAATAATTAAAAAAAAACAGAATATTCGAAGAAGAATGTTGTATTTTTCTTTAATGTATGACATTATCTTTATTTAATAATTCAAATTTGTATTTTAAATTGCTAAAGCATGTTTTCTTTTCCTATGTTGATATTGTTTACCAAACTTACTATAAATATCGATAGTTTGGGGATCTTTCTAAAAAAAGGGCTCGAAAATTACAAATTTGCAAAGTAACTTTTACACTTTCATCCGTAAAAAATCGCTAAATTGCGCCAAGATGATTGCGATAGTATGTAAGTACCAAATGTATACAAACGAATATATTTATCAGCATATATATCATACCAAATGAATATATTTATCAGCAGGTGTAATTCTAAATGTTAAAGAGCAAATTCTGCCTATATGAATAATTATGTTTTTTTAAGTATCTGATTAAATAGAGGTGTCGAAAGATTATTTCTGTTTTCTTAGCTTTCTTATGCTTTTTTTATGTTCTGAATTATATAATAAAATTTTTAATGTTCATATATTCATGTTCATAATATGTAATATTACATTTAATGTAAATAAATATAATTTTTAATGTTCTAATTTTTTTACGTATATATATATATATATGTGTGTGTAAAATATAAAAAAAATACGATGGCTTTGCTCTACGCGAACCTCTAATTAACTTTCCGCAATTTCCGGATCTTCCCCCTAGACCAGTACTTTCCAGAAAAATTCGGGCAAGTTACGTAAACGCTCCTATAAATGAAGAATTCGCGCCATTTTGCATCACCGCTTTCTCCCTCTTCTAAAACCTATGCTGCCTCTCTTCTCATCTGCCTCCCTTTGTCTGAATAGTATGTCGCAGTAAATTTACAGTTAATACTACTTAATTCAAATTACTATCGCATATGTAATCTTGAATGATTTGCCATTTTTTTTTAAATCTTACATATATATAAATCAGTAAATTATAAAATATAAAGACACTAGACACTTAATTGGCACTACACCTTTAAATTTCTAATTTGAATTAAAAGACAACCTCCTTCGCTTCTGCACTGATATTACTCTTTCCCGGCAGTATTCCGCACTACTGTGAGCTTTTATCCAATCATCATTTAGAACTCAAGCAAAGAATTTCCGAATATAAATATCTTAGCTGCCTTTTGCATACTTTCTTTCGCCGCTTGCATTGCCTGGGGAAAATGTCTCTTCGCTAAGCTATATTTCAACATTATTCAAAAAATGTAACTGCATAGTTTAAAATTCTGAGGTGCAGACAGCCCCGATATGCTATGTCATGAACTACGATTTGTTATTCAATATCAAAGATCAAGATATCTTGATTAAGAATCGACAAGATATTCAGATTATCAAATGATATTGTGATTCTTCAAAAGAGTTCCAGTTATCTACTATGCCACAGAGTCACGCTATCGTCTATCACCTCCACTTCAACCACGACGGCGACGCAGTTGGTTTTTTTCGTCATTTTTGCATATACAGAGGCTGTTCGCACATTTTTTAGACGATTTTGGTAAGCGGTAATAAAAAATCGTTTGCTGCAAAAGAAGTAATTGCAATTGTACTATGTTTTTAAAAGTCAAAATAATCGTCTGTGACTTGAAAGTTTTGTTTTTATTCAAAATGGCGATTTTAACAAAGCAGTGGTTCGAAGGCCACATTTACGCTTTTTCCGAAGAGAAGTATGCATACTCCGTTATCCAAAACGATGTGAGAGTCATGGTTTTGTCATATCTAAAGCGTCGATAGATAATATCATCAACAAGAAAGGGAAAAAACGTCAAATTGGAGCCTCAAGTGGGACAAAAATTTCAAACAAGTATCCAAGGAAAAAACGGACATCTTCGACTATTGCAAAGTACGTTGTTTAATGTTAAAAGAAAATCCCCCTAGTCAAAGGACAGTTGCAAAATCATTAAAATGCTCGATGTCCACTGTAAACAAAATGATAAACGTTGATTTAAATCTTAAGAAAGCGAAAAAACGCAACGTGCATCGTCTTCTTCCAAAGCATATCGCTCGACGCAGGAACCGCTGCAGATTTCTATATGAGAAACGCGTATCAAAAAAAAAAAAAAAAAAAAAACTATTGTCACAATAGATGAAGCATGGGTGTACTTAAATGACTGTAACAAAAAAAGAGCCATTTATTATCATAAAAGGGGAGAAAAAAATTTAAGTACATGGTTCAAAGAATCAAAAGAAAGTTTTTCTAAGGGATTCATGATTGTTGCTGCTTTTTCTTATAATGGCAAGTTAAAAATAAAGAGAGTGCAAAAAAATGTTAAGATTAACTCCAAATACTATCAGGAACATATATTATTGCCAATTTTTCTGAATGAAACACCATCGCTTTACCCACAGTGCCCTCCATCTGTGAGACTCCATCAGGACAAAGCTAGCAGTCACACATCAAAATCCACTGTAAATTTCCTAAAAGAAATGGAACAAAAAACTGGTATCAAGGCCATACCCTTCACTGATATCCCTACTAAATCTCCCGATGTGTCACCTATGGATGTTTGTGCTTTCTTACTTTTAAAAACTGCATTATCTAAACGTTGTCCCAAAACCCTAACGGGTCTCTGGAAAGCTGTTCGAGAGGAATGGGATAGAATATCTCTTCTGCCACTTCAAAAGGCATTATTATCCTGGAAATTGCGGTGTCGAAATATAGTTCAGAATAAGGGATGTCAAATAGAACATTTAAAACACAAGAATTTTATGTAATTTAGTTTTGTGAATACAATATACATCGTCTAAAAAATGTGTGAACAGCCTCTGTATATCCCACCAAATCTGCGTTTTAGATGGAAGAAAATTTGCAAAAATGGCAGAAAAATTAATCCTGTTGTGGCTTTTATAAAGGCCAAAAACATTCTATACAAATAGATCAGATGAAATGGGATTACAGAGTACCCAAAAATCTTCAGAAAAAAAATTATTGAAGAGCTGCAAATAATAAAAGTTTATGCACAACAGAAGCAGCCATATGTATTCAGAAAACAATACAAACGGCATTTAATTTTATTCGTTTACTTTACTTTTTAGAAACACATTTTTAGGGTTTATTATAACATTACAGTCTCAAAGTAATATTACTAATATCAAACAATAAATTATTTTCTGTTTTTTAATAAACTTTTACCCTTATAGTTATGATATATGTTACATAAAGCTTCATTTCTTTCAGAATGGTGTAAAACATACATCGCTGAATACAAAAGACGCTTGCTAGCCAAATTCACCTCATGCTCGACACATTTGAAGAAATTAGGAATTAATATAAGAGATTCAAAAGGTGGCCTCTTTCTGTGGGTTGACTTTCGCTCTGTAAGTAAACACGTTAATTTAAAATTTCATTTCTTTATTACAGCAAATAATTGCCGAACGCGGGATTATGTCTTGCGCGTACAGTAAAATTGTGTTCCATGAGGTTAAAATTTTAGGGGGAAAAAAGTTAAGCATGGCTCAAAAGTATGTATAGTAAGTATGTACTGCCTAATAAGCAGGTCCAAAATATGGGACAGTTCTTATCTCTCGTTCTACTAGGCCGATTGACGAAATTTATTTTGCGTTTCTCACGTCACGAAATTCCAACTTAGTATATACATTAGATTTACATATAGCATTGTTCTAATATAGGTTATTTTGACACAAAATCAGACTTGTTTCAGAAATGACATACCGATTTTTTTCTATATTTCAATTCTACGACTCAAATTATGCCTAAGTATAAATTTTGTTATTAAATTTGGTGAGAAACTCACCGAGAAATTTTAAAATCTCTATTGGCGCACTTTTTTCAGTTTGCACAAACTGTAATTCGCTTGGCGAAATTCTTAATTTGGAGTAACCTATTTTCCTCTCCCCTTTTTCATTGTGCACGAGCGTGAAAAAGTGTGCATCCTTCATTTTTTCAAATACACGGATGTGCAAAAATTATGGACGAAGTTGATAAATTAACTTATCAATGGAATGAAGAGGCAAAGCGGACTGAAAGATTAATCAGGAGACCGAATAGGCTCAGGTACATTAGCACATGCGCATATATGTAGCTAGACGATTGGGGGAGTGTCGGAGGGGTATAAAGATCGCTGGAACTGTAAGCTCGCATTTGGGGGAAGCTATTGCACAGCATATATCAGTTTAAACGACATCGAGTTGCTGCATCAGTGTGAAATGTCGAACAATAAATCTGTTAGAAGACATCTGAATGCTTTTACCCGAGGTCGAATCATTGTAAAGAGTGAGGAAGATCGAAGTGTGATAAGTGTGGCTGTGGAGTTCTGGCTTGCTCACAGCATTGTTTCACGACTTTGAAAAGCATTTCATACTACAGGAGTCTGACGGTTCAGAAATAGTCGTCCACGAACAACCCCAGCAGTGGACGACCAATTGCTCTGTAGGCAAGAAGGAACAGTCACTAAACAGCGGGAGAAATCTCAAGACACATGAAACAGGCGATTGGATGACGGATATTGCGTTTTGCCATGGCTAGGAGGCTGCACAATGGTTGCCTGTTTGCACAACGACCTGTACGATGTATACAATTAACGCCTGCTCATCGGAGAAAGCGTTTCCTGTTGGGCCAGGAAACACCAGAATTGGACAGATAATTAATGGGGTCGAGTACCTTTTACGGATGAGAGCAGATTTAGTCTGAGTTGCGATTCTAGACGCATACACATCTGGAGAGAACGGGGAATACGCAATATTCCCTTCAACATCATCAAAAGAGACAGGTTTGGGAGATCGCGGAGTTTTCGTTTGGGAAGACATAATGCTTGGTAGCTGTACCGACCTTCACATCTTCCAAGAAGTTCAGTTTCCTTCCTTATATGCGTCTTTTCAGAGGTGCTATGGGTCCTCAGATCCTCATCATTGACGACAACACTCCATTTCATTGCACAATTGCTGTGGAAGAGCTGTTGGAGAGTGAGGATATTGAGCAAATGGATTGACCGGCAAGGCTTTTGGATCTAAATCCCATCAAGCATGTATTGAACTTCTAGGAAGACGCGTGGTAGTACATAACTAATCGCCAGTAACGATTCCGAAGGTGCGATTGGGGCTGCAAGAGGAATGGGCAGCAATGCCTCAACAACACATTGACAACATCATATTCAGCATGAACAAAAAATGATGTGAAACCTGCACAGCAGTAAGGAAAGATCATATCCCCTTCTAAAGGCTGGATGTTTCTAGCTGGCAGGGGCGTAGCTAGAGGGAGGCATCTGTCCCTGGGCGCAGAATCCAAGGGGGGCCAAACTGATATTACGACATTTTAGAATTAAATGTTTTCCATCCTTGGCAAGCAGTAGGGGGCGCGAAATCTTCAGTTGTCCCTGGACGCTGAAAAGCCTAGCCACCACTCTGCTAGCTGGACACCTGTCACATGGATGTTTCGGCCTTCTGTTGCATTGTGCTCCATGCTGCTTTTCAATAATGTTCCTTTTTACCATTTTAATTTTTTTTCGGGGGGGGGGGAGTTTTGCTTACATTATCCATGTTCTTATATCTTGGTGATCTTACGGTATTATTTTTGTTGATTTGGAAAGCTTTTGCACAACGTTATATTGAAAAAAAAAAAGTCTCGTCCTTAATTTTTGCACACCAGTGTAATTTTAACAAGGTGCGTAAAGCACGTTGGCGTTATTATGACGTATAACAAATATGCCAATACGCAAGTTCACATACATCTTAGGAAATTCTGAATAAAAAGCTCTAATTTTTGCAGGCATGCTTAGAAATATATCTACATTAAGCTGATGGCAAATATTTTATAGGTTATAATTCAAAAGTTTTTCGAAAAAAATTACAAAAACTACTGAAAAATACAAATTTTAGAATCAAATCAGAAAATAGCTGCGAATTTTATTTGGAGTGAACCTAAATTTCGAATCGTGAAAGAAAGAATCAAGTAAGTTTAATGAAAAAAAAAAAAAATATTTATAAATATATACAAAATTCAATTAACATTCAGGAGCTAAAATTTTGAGAGTTAATTTTTTCTAAAACCACTCGTGCGATTTTTACAAAAATTGGCACTTTGGCATAATTTGAATCCTAGAATCGAAATATGGAAAAAAGTAGGTGTATCATTCCAGTAAAAGTACGATTTTCGTATCAGAATACATATGTTAGAATAATGCTATATGTAAATCTAATATATGTATCTTAAGCTACGCTTTCAAGACACGAAAAACGCACGTTAAATTTCGTAATTCGGTTTTAATATATCTTTATCCTATTCTTTCTTCAGTTGGATCAATCTGCATTGCAAAATCGGACAGTTCACATATTTTAAAAATTTGTTTAACTTCTTTTTTGTATTTTAAATACTTCTTCACTATCGCAGCTTTCACCGTCGGCTGGTTCTTAATTTATCATTGCACGATCGTCATTCTCAATTTATTATTTCATTTCTCCTTCTACCATATGTGAAAATGCTTCGCCGCCTATTGCTTTTGCCCTTTTCTTGGCTTCAATTTCAATCGATATTAATTCTTTAAAATTTTTGACAACTTGTGGCCAAAGCTAATTTCATTGTTGATAAATTCACTTGTTCCTATTCGAAGTGAACCATTCTATAGGATTCCTAACTCCTGGTCTAAGATGAAACGTCAAGGAACCTAGTGTAAAATATGTAGGGACTTATCGCTGAGTTCAACAACTAAAGACACTAACTCGAGAAGGGTTAAAATACCCTTTTATTCACTCAAATAAGAATATCAGTCGACCCCTTCTCGGGCTTCCAGGAAGCCTCTACAGAGGCTTTAACTCAGAATAATACTCATTCTGATTAATAATACTCATTCTGAGTATTATTCTGAGTTAACCCTCTCAGCGTTACGGCCGGAAAATTCCGTAGCGAAGATTGCCTTCCACATCCATTATACATGAAAATTTCTGCTAGCTTTTAATGTATCTGATTTCAGTTTGGATGTATATTGGAAGAAAAGGAATCAAGGTACAAAATGAAAGAGTCATTGTTTGATTAAAATCAAGAAAATATCACTTATTCATGACATTTTGAGGAACTTTAAAATTTCAGGGCTAAACCAGTAAAGCTCTGAAGTGTTTTTATTATTCTGAGTTTTATAAGAAATAAGAAACTAAACTATAATTAACTAAACGAGACTTAGCCGAAGCTAGACACAATTATCTAACGTAGTTGCCACTTAAAATTAAACTAACCAGTGAATATCAATAGGCACGTATAATACGGCCGATCGCAATAGCCTCAAGAGTGACTTAGCCAGAAAACAAAATACGCGCTACTAAAGACTCCTAGCATTCTCTGTCGAAGTAAGTTGAACCTTCCTGCAATACTTCTCATAACTCATTTGCATTCAACGAGATTCTAAAAACTCATTCTGGTACGGAGTTGCAAGTGGAAATAAGAATTGATAGGAAAGGGTTTCAAAATAAAATAAAATAAAACTGTTATAAAATTAAAATACACCTTACAATTCTATTCAATGTTTTATGTCGAATTCCTTCTAAAATGCCGTCAATGTGGCGGGCTTTCCTTCATCTAGTGCATTATTTTCAGGGATGTAAACATGTCCGATATAATGCAATGTTATGAGGACTTCAGCACCGCGCTTTGGAGCATTATCCAGAATTAGAACTTTAAAGCTCGAATTTCGCTGTTGTAAGCAATGTTTGACTTATTTAGGGAGTGAATTTTCAAACCAATCACTAAAGAGGACTATCGCAAAGCGGCCAACGTTTATAATTGAAATTTTCCCGTTCTTTCTTTTCCTTCCAAAAGCCGAGTAAGAGCGTTTCTACATCTTTGACACTCGAGAATAAAACACGATCCCTGTGTGTGTGTGCCTTTCGGCAAGGGATTACTGTATTATTAGCTCTGTATTGTTTTATTATTTTTGATATTTTTTCACTTGGTAAAAGAAATATTCACTGTTATGTAAATAGAATATTGCTAGTTTAACATGAAATATCATTCTTCATCGTTAATTAAGAAACAGCATTGCGAAATATATATCAGAGAAATTGACTTCACAAAGCGTGAAATTAGTTCTTCAATCGGAGAAGAAAAATTACACAATAATAATTGAGATATTTCATTGTAATTTCTTAATTATTCTGATATTGTTAATAAAATTATATTTTACTGTTTATGCGTAACTGGGTTAACATTCATTTGATTTTTGACGGTTGTTATTTCTAATGGTAACGTTTTGCAGGTATGCGGTTCAAAATCTTTTAAACAAGAGAGAGACTTTTTCCTGTACCTTCTAAATGAAGTGCATTTATACATTGTTCCTGGAGAAGAACTTTTTTCAGCTCAACCAGGATGGTTCAGAATGACTTTCAGTGGTAATCCGGATCATTTGAAAGAAGGTATTAAGTTGAGTTATGTAATATGGTCATATTATTTATCATATTTTGCATAAGACATAATACTCAGTTTTTCATATGAAGTATATAATACATGAATTAAAAAAAAACAGTATAAGAGCTCTTAGCGATAAAGCTCAGAGATGTACAGCAATAACAATATGCAAAAAAGCATAAAATAAAGAATTAAAAATACGTACATCGTGGAAGGAGGAAGCAAGAGGTTACTATTTAAAACAGTTCCCTTTTTTAATTAAAAAGCAACGTGTAATTTCATGTAAATATTTCATTTTTAATTTTAAAAGAACCCTGCTTCAAGCACGCACTGGTGTTCAAAATTTAAGAGAACATTACATCAGGTCGATTATCTCTAGAACTGATGAACATATTTTAATGAAATTCTGGATGAACACAGCTTGATATAACACAAATATATATGTATTGCTGCGTTCTACGTGTTCGTGAATTTGGAGCGACTGACGACAGCACTTGATGAAGAAGCAAAACACAATTTATTCGTCAGTTCACAGTTACACAGTTCCAAAGACGCATTTACAATCGTCAAAAAACTACGAGAAACACGCTGAAACAATCAGCAACACAGCCATCATGCTATAATGGTGAAAACAACCTGACGGCAAAACACTAACGTACAGTTCCCGACTCAGTCGTTTGCTCCTGAGCTAATCTCTGAACTCAAGACACTAATTACTACTGAGCTCAACATACTTTTCTCCTCCGCGTGCAGGCAGGATATATATAGCTTTTAACCTACCATCGGGAACATTCTCGAGGAAACCGCTAAGAATACATTCAAGAATGTTCTCGCTTTGTCTACGGCATATCGGCAATTCTGCCGCCAAATGGGCGGTTTAGCGCCAAATCTGGAAACCCTGCATTTCCCTTCACTTTCTGGCAACTCTAACTCCGATTCGTGGGGAAGCTATCTTACCGCAGCTTGGCATTTCGTACCATACATGTATTTGCATTAACTAGAGTTCGTTATACCGTGCAGTAGTCGGTCTCACTCCAGTAAAAATGCAGTTTTTAGGTCCTGGGGGGTTTGGGGAGGAGGAAGGCGAGTTGCAATTGCGCATTCAAGAACATACCACACATGCTCAATAACCTCACATTCGAGAAAAATCCTCCACCAGGTTATTCCTACATGGGTTGTCATCCATAAAAATGAACAGAGGGCCATCTGCAAGATTAAAATCTTCATTTAAATTTGTTCATCAGTTCTGAAGATCATCGACCAAATATGAAAACGTTTAATTTCGAACACCAGTGTAACGTGTCGTTTTGTTAAAATTAACCCAAACGATGCTATTGTTCTGAATTACGTTTGGTTTGATTTATTTGATTATGGCAGACCACACAAGCTCCATCTGCCTAAGGGAAACTAGCTCGTATTCAAGTTACACTCGGGGAAAACCATGAAAACGTCCACGTAACCAGTCCCTCCGCCAGGATTCGAAACGGCCTCGAACGACCACTCTTCGGTAACTCTACCCGATATGAATTATCTCTTTCGGTTACTCAATATTATACTTTCGCGGTCAATTTGCATTAATAAACAGTTCCTGAACTCCCGGACCTTTGAAGCAAGAGACTACTGCCTTTCCGTTTAGAGAATATTCTATGGTAATAGAGAAAGCTTTTGTCCATTACCCTCATGGAGGTAGGAAGTTAGATGGAGTGGCCCTAAACCGGTTTCCCCATACCCTGCTTTGAAGTACTTTCGATCCCTCCTTTGGTGACCAAAACATTGGGTAATTTACCATTGAGTTCAACAGTTTTTGACACGATCAGATGTAAATATTTTGAAATTACGTCGTAAATATGCATATAAATGTATATATTTTCTTTTTCTACAATACTTCAAAGTCCTAAGTATATGAACAGAATACATTTTTAAACATCATTTCATTCTGAACGGAATTAAATGCTGTACGTTTCACAGAACAGTTTGCTCAAATTGGTTTAATTTGAAATATTTTTCACAAGTTTTCCTTAATTACATTAGAAAAAAAAATTAAGGTAATTCGATTTGATTCGGTTAAGGATTACAAAAATTAAGATCAAAGCTTTTTGTATTATTAAAATTATGCATTATTTCTTTTCTATTTATAGAGCTTCTTCCTAAAATACTTTCTCATATATGATATGTTTTTATAGCTTCTGAGGCATCTTTTAAATCGAAAACTATAAGTCAATTTATAATTAATGTTCTATTCGGCCCATTTCAAATTAGAGCACATTTTAATTTAATAGCGAAGTACTTTAAATAGTACTTAACTTTCTCTGAATATTTCTGAAAGGGAATAAAATAAGGATTTTTTAAAAAAATATTATTTAAAACTTGTAACTAACTTATTATAAAATGGTAAGGGGAATATTTCTTTTAATTATACTTATTGGATTTTTTACCCTTAATTTCAACAATACATAGTCCAAAACTCTTCTTTATTACTTTCTTAAGTACGCATCTCATAGAAATTGCTTTACAATTAACAGATTGCTTTCCAGTACAAACAATTCTTGCTTAAATAGTTTTTTAACGTATGTGTCAACAGGATGTCAGTTTATGTTTACAATTCAATGTTAAGGTTATTATATATTTAGATAATATTTATAATCATTATAAATTTAGATATATTTAATAATTAGATTTCTTTCCAGTAACTTTCACAGTTATTTATAAATGAATAAATCCTTCATTTCAAATACATTTATAAATAATTTAATTAATATTTACGTAATTTTGTTAAAGGCAGATACATGCTTTTTGGAAGCACATGCATAAATACCCATACATATTTCATATTTTTCATTTCCGGCATGTGGAAATCTTTAATTTCTGTGCATTCACTATATTTTTCGAGTAAAGTAATTTACACTAATTTTAAAAAGTACGTGTTACAATAATATGTGGATGTGACAAAAAAATTTATTACATTTTGGCGTTTGGAACATAAAATAAAATTAGCGAATACTGTATTAAGGGTATCGAGAAATGTATACAATTTTAAAGGTACGGTGAGGTATTTTTCATTCTTTAAGCATAACCTTTTTGCTAAAATCTATATTTTTGTAGTTCAACAGCTTAGAATTTTATAAAACAAATTCATAATCAAAATCGCTGTTGTTAGTTATCGAAAAGTAACCAAGATGTGATTTTTGCGTAAATGTCGCTAAACTTTACAAATTGCTATTATCCTCCATCGTACTAGGAATGTTTCTTTTATGCAGAAGTGTCCCGTTTTTCGATTTGTACGGAACTGTCGTTTGTCGAAATACTATCAGAGCGCTGTCAAGCGAACTTCTGAATGTAAACAAAAAAACACCCCATTTGGTGACCGAAGCTTCACTTCTAATGCCGGTTTGGCCACTCCTTCCTTTCTTACCTCCATGATTACCCTGGAATGGCTGTGACTGTCGATTAACAGAAGATACGACTGTATAATATTACACGTCTTTCAGTTAACATAGTTTTAGTAATTTTAAAACCAAGCAAATAATCATCAATAAAATTCCGAGTTCCATACTCAAGGACCCCATTCCGGATATGAATTCCTGGGGTATTTATAGGATTCCTTGCCAGTGTGGTTTAATTTACATTGGCCAAACTAAGAGAACCTTAAAATTTCGCGTCAAGGAACATGAGGCATATGTTAGAAAAAAGGAAACACAGAAGTCTTCTGTTGCTCAACATTGTTGGTCCGAAAACCACACTTTCAGTTTTTCTGCTGCCAAATTTATTCAAAAAACATCTTCCATTGGAGAAACTGGATTTTCTAGAGGCATTTCACATTCATAAAAAATCTTTCTGTTCTAGTTAACGATCCAATCCAAATTTGCCTTCGGCCTTTAAAGAAATTATGTTTTAGTTCTGGTTTCACCAACAGATGGCGCCACTTGCTTATTCTTGTCCAGGCTTTCTTATCTTATCTAATCATTATTTCCCATCTTGTTCATTCGCGGTTTTGCAGCCGAAGATAGTGGTTCGGTAAAACCATCGAAACTAGTCCTGTGAAAATTTTGTAAATATAACGCTGATTTTTGTTGTTTGACTTCTGAATTAGTATTTATTCGGCGTGTTATTGTGTCTTAATTCAAGCAAATAATATTTAATGCTGCACATTAAAATTTTCATACTTTTTTAATTAAAAGTTTTCTTCGGCCACTTAAATGGATTGTTATCACAGTTGTAAGGCAGCATGTGCACTAAACAGTACTGAATTTTAAAGTTTAACCGTACATCTAATTTAAAGTTAATATAATTATTCGTATATAGAGACAAAATATAAGTATTAGATTAAACTCAGAATTTAATTGAATTTAAAATTGAAACGTTAAATTGACATTTTAATCTTCACAAGTATTTTTTTCCGTGTTGAATAAATTATTCACATTTTCAATGTTTTTAAATTCTTACAGGATTAAGACGCCTCGAGGATGCCATAAAGAACTATAAACCCCTGGATGTGTAGCTGGGATCTTTCTGATTTATAACTTGGTTTTCCACATAGAAAAATGGAAATGAAGATAAGATATCAAAGAATTCGTTTCAAGGTGTATGTAACAGCAATTCCTACGAACTTTTCTCCAAAGTATGGAAACACACAATTATTAAACGTACTGAAAATTCCAGCTTAAACTTTTCATTACTTCCATTTAACTAGCCCCCCCCCCCAAAAAAAAAAAGAACTGATACTTTTAAGTGACGGAACTCTATACTGAATTCCAATAAATTTCTACCTCGCACAAAATTTAAGACAAGCAGGGGAGAGAAAATTTGCCTTAAAAATTAACTTAAAAAATGTACATTAATGTGTTAAAACTAGTCATATTTATATGATTAAGAGATAGCAAAGAAAACTAATTTTTGTCCTTTTATTAAACTCTCATTTGGCGAAAAAAGGAAAGAAACGAGGGGGAAGAGAAAAAGAGAAAACTTTTCATACTTTTTCTTATAGCTTTGTTTTAAAAATGTATTTTATAAAAATACATATGAAAAGAGGCTGTTTCATATTATACTTCTATTTTATATATATTGGTTATTATTTCATTAGCTTTTCGTATTATGTACATATATAGTGGTTATTATTGTGTTAGTTTTTCATGTTTTAATGTATTTTGTTAATGAATTACACTGTAACTAATATTATAAATTTACATGAATAAAATATTTTTTACAATTTTTGTTTCATTGAAAAAATAATAATCAAAAGGTGAATTTTACTTTTTTAAATTTCATAATTAGAAAATCTTTAGTTCAATATTTCCATTTTTTAATACCATGACACTTTTGCATTATAGCACAAGACTGCTATCCACTCATTGTGGCCTTTCACAATATTTGTCTTTCCTTACTCAATGCTATGCCAAACAATTACAATGACACGTAACACAGACATATACACTCACTTCCAAAAGTTAAGCACGAAGATGTAAAATGCAAAAAAAATCAACAAATACTGCTTTGATTGACACAAAATTCGGCAGGAAAGTAGCATTTATATTTATGCATAAAACAAAAACAATAATTATATACAAAAATGAAAACAATATTAAATTTTTATAAGTTATGAGATAATGTCATACTGGAGACTTAACAGAATTATGTATAAAGTGAAAATAAACAGCATAAAATAAAAAAAAGGGCATTAATAGGGTATGTGATCCCCCCCCCTTATCTGTATACAAGGCTTACACCTTGTGACCATGCTTTCAATCAGGTGGTCAACCACCGCAGAATTAAGCAATCGCCATTCTTCTTGTAGAGCAGTTTCCAGCTCAATGAGAGTGGCTGGAGGTGGGAAACGTGAAGATACAGCACGGCCGAGAGCATCCCAAAGATTTTCAATGGGATTAAGATCGGGCGAATATGCTGGCCACGCCTTTCGCGAAATCCCTTCACTCCGCAGGTAGTCATCGACGATGTCAGCTCTATGGGAACGTGCCTTATCGTCCATTAAAACAAAAGTAGGGCCAACTGCTGCAGCGTACAATCTCAAAATGGGTTCTAGGACTTCATCTCGATACCGGACAGCCGTTAAAGAACCCAGTTTAAAGATGTGCAGGTCGGTGCGGTATCCTAATGGAATCCCTGCCTACACCATAATGCTTCCGCTTCGGAATGCGTGATGTTTGGTGATGTTTTGGGACTGATTGTGTGTTCGTTGTTCACGCCATATCCTTATACGCTTGTCATCTGGTTCCAGAGCAAATCTTAACTCATCAGTAAACGTGACATTGCCCCAGTCAGACACATTCCAATTGACATGTTCCCGGCACCACTGTAATCGTTTCCCTCTTTATTGAACGGATAGAGGAACACAAATTCGACGTATACGGGCATACAGTCCACTCATATGTAATGTTTGGCGTACAGTAGCTGCAGATATCGCCTTACCAATGGACGTTGTAACCATAGATGTCACACGTGTGGAAGCCGCTTTGCGATTCCGCTTGGCTACAATAGCAATATATCGATCTTCCGCGGGGGTTGTAACCCTTGGGCGACCGGCTACGGGCCTTCGGACAACTGTCTGTGTAGTTTGGAATTGTTTCTATAAACGTCAAATTACAGAATGATGAACGCCGAAGAAAAGAGCAACATCTGTGATCGACTGTCCTGCTTCAATGCGCCCCACAGCACGCCAGCGCTCAGAATCTTCCATTCGTCTTCTGGAAGTCATAGAAACACGTATGTCTTGAAAACAAATTGTACGGAAGTTTTAAACACCTTCTATCAACACTTACAATAAACTTCTGTAACCCTTCATAAAGCTGGCTTCTTATACGACTGCCTTTTTTGCATATTTCTTGACATGAAAGCGCGATTGTCTGTTACCTAACATATTTTCATATTTCCATCTACCTCTTCAATTCTGATTGGCTTCCGGAAATTAGCATTTTCCTCTCCGTGTTTAACTTGTGGATATGAGTGTATATGCATTTGACACATACATGTAAGCAAAACTTGAGAATATCATCAGAGGGTTTTTGATAAATTTGCATTATTCACTGAGGTAAACCCACATATAATTTCACTGAGAGTTTTCTCTACCACAGACCTTACATCATGGTTCTTGGAAATGTTTATTTCTAGGTCACCTTCAACATTCTTATTCTTCTGCTGTAAAATATTATTTTCTGCTCATAATTTAATATAATCAAATTTATGAGCATTTACTCTTCTCCATCAACAGGATTGTTACTAAGATTCTTTTGGTGTAAGCATAATTCTGAGTAGTTCTTAAAGATCAGCTTTGCTCTGATTATGAAGAAAAGGAGTTTTCAGCTTTTCAAAATCATTTTGTTTAAAAGTTTCACTTTGTACGAGACTCTGGGTTAATTCAGCGGACGTGAAATAAGATTTAAACACTTCTCAGCTCTGAAAATATTAAATATGATCTCAAAGCTACATAAAAGACACTTTTGGAGTGAATAACGACGACACTGGATGAAGTATCGAAACACACTTTATTTATCAATATTAATCAGGACAGCTCGAAAACACTTTTTTTACAGTCGTCAAACTGTTATAAACACGCTGACACGATCAGCAACGAAGCCTTCACACTGTCAGGCAATAACGGTGGAGACAGCTTCACTGCAAAGCATCAGAGTACAGCTTCCGACTCTGCTTGGTCGTTCTCGGAACTCCACGTACTCTCGAGACTCTCCACGCTACAACTCGCGATGCACAAGAGTATAGCTCTCGACTCAGCACAGTCTAAGAGGAAACTCGACGATGCACTAATTCGCGATACACTAAAAGACTCTCTCGATGAACTCGACGCTAGACTTCGAGACACTCGCTCAATGACTGACTATCAGCTAGCTAGACGAGGCACACATACTCGCCCTCTCGACGAGGCACTTACTCTCGATACTAACTGACTGCGGACCAGCAGGGTTTATATAGCTTTCGGCTTGTGTTCGAGAACATTCTGGGCTAAACCGGTAAGAATTCGTTCCAGAAGGTTCTCCATCAGTCGATGGCGTATCGCCAATTTTGTCGCCAAATGGGCGATTTCTCTCTAAATGTGGCAATCCTGCCTTCCCTTGCTATTTTATGGCAACCCTAAAACTGCTTTGCGGTTAAGCTATCTCACCACACCTGTACATTTCGTAACAATACAAAGATAGTTTTTATTTGAAATATCAGTAGATTCAACTACAACAACAGGTTAGGAACCATTAATGTCATCAGTTTTCACAGCATGTAAAATAATAAAAAAATAATAATATTGAACTGTTTCTGTTTAACCTTGAGTTGCAACTCCTCTCTCTATGTGCTTTTATGATTTTGCAGAAATGAGAAGTTAAACTGACAGCAATTTATTGCCTTTGAATTATAAAAATTTTGCCTCGGATTTTTGCTATATGAAACCTTTTGATGCAGTTCTATTATTTTTCCTATTTTTCATGACTTAAGACTGGCAGTTTTTGTACAATAGTGAAGGTTTTTTTTTTAATCCAAATATTTTTTTGACAAAAGACAAATATCCCTCCCTTACAATTAGAATTTACTACTGCTGTACTAAATAATTTAGTTTCTTTAAACATTATCACAAGAGGTCAATGTCAATTTATTTCAGTACCTGAAAGGGACAGGTCTTTATTATTTAATTTGATTTTGTTTTGAGGTTGCTTCTAAGTATTTCAATGTATCTGAAGTTTTAATTTTATTTTACTCCCGTTTTACAACTGATATCATTATCTGAATTTTATATAACTGTTTTTCATCACCTTAAAACTTCGTTTAATTTTATAATTCTGCTATTGTTTTAAACTTCTGTTTTGCAATAACATTGTGATTGTTTAATTTGATTTTGTTTTGAGGTTGCTTCTAAGTATTTCAATGTATCTGAAGCTTTAATTTTATTTTACTCCCGTTTTACAGCTGATATCATTATCTGAATTTTATATAACTGTTTTTCATCACCTTAAAACTTCGTTTAATTTTATAATTCTGCTGTTGTTTTAAACTTCTGTTTTGCAATAACATTGTGATTGTATCTAACTTGTGTGCGGAAGTAAATAACATATGATTGGTGCATAAATAGTTTTTTAACCCCTTCGCGCCGACTGTCACGTATACGTGCCAGCAACGAAAGCACTTACCTACCAGCCGACACGCAGGCGTGCCAGAGGATTGTTCCATTCTCTACCGACTGTCACGTATTTGTGGCAGTACTTTGGAACGTTTTTCAAACTATAATTTCTGCCACAAGATGGCACTGTATGTCCATATGGTTTCAGATACATGTAAAGTAGACCTTCTACTCGAAATGAGAGAAGCATGACTCACATACACGTGTTTTTGATTATATAAACAAACGGGGAAATAAATGTTTCCGAATGGCGTGATTTCTGACGTCTCTTTAAATCGCACTTTATTCGCACGTGGTAGTTGTTTACTGTAAGTAGAGAAGTTTTATTTGCTCTAAAGCGTTGGGTATTTCGGTTTGCAGTTCAGTTTTTAGAAAATAATTAGATCTTGTTAGACGTGAATTCTTTGTTTTTACCGTTGCAATGTCGAAGCGTCGAAAATGTTTAACAGAGCATGAAATAGCAGAAATGATGCAAAATATTTCAGATATTGATTCTGAAATTCTGATATTGACTCTGAAAGCTTAACTGAAAGACATTTTCCAAAACTTTGTTCAGAAGAGACTGATAAGAAAATGAGACGACAATGCT